TCGTCTAAAATATGTTTTTTATAATGGGATTAAAAAAATTAAATTTTCCTATTTATAATACCTAATTGAGAATACAAATAAGAGGAAAGCAAATAACAGATAGAATGATGACTTTACTTGAACCAGTCGCTGAGATAAAAGCTGGTAAGAACGTACGTAATCATCGTAAAAAATAACTATGCATGCACCTTCCGTACTAAAATCATAAAATTTTAATTAGAAACTTTATAGCCTTGAGTAATCGCAGGTATAACAAAACTGAAAAAATATTGCAAGCAGTCGAACCTGTTTTATAACATGCCAACACTAAAAAATAAGGTATCTCGTTCGTTACGATTTAAAATAAGAAAGCACTACAACAAGAAAACATTGCGTTTAAGGACTGGCATTTTAATTTGTAAATTAAGAAAGTTACGAATCTAATTATAAAAAGTATACAATGAATTATGCAACGATCGTTCACTTGTTTTAACAGTATCGCAATTGCAAGACGGACTTCAGTAAATATACCAAGAATGGTGAAAGTGCCGTGTGGTACTGCGGAGAGAGCGCATCTCACGACGCTTCAATAATTGCCAGTTGCATCGGTACCAGCGAGTGAACGAATGAAACGATTTGTTTTGTCCGTTCACTGGTCCCAGCTCAATACGCGGGCACAAGAATCAGTGCACAATGGCAGCGTCCCAATGTACCGCGTATGCTGAAGCAGATGACAGCACACACAGAAACGAAAAAGATTAGCTATTTTACGTGCGGATGACTTAACATTAGATTTAACCCGTCTGCTGACGTTCGAAGATATTTAACTGCATTTTTAATATCGGAATTAATAAATCATGACTTATTAAGAAAATCATTAAAATATTACTGGCTATGTTTAAAAGAAGTTTCATGTTTCTAATTTGCGTTATCTTTTGTTTTTATCTGTAGTAGTTTCTGCTTTTGTGATTATTAGACTCATCCAGAAAAGTACCACGAACTAACAGAAGACTGAGGTCAAGTAAAGGTATTTTCCTCTTCGTAATGCCACGAGTCTTACGAACGTTCATGGGTAAAACTTAACTTCAGGGGACATCTGTTTTTGCCACCTTCTCTCATGAAACAATCAGTACAGTACCCGGAGGTGTTTTTTTTTTTTTTTGTAAATCGTGTATTTTGGAAATTACATTTAGATACAAATTACTGAGTAATGAAATATGCATAATATCTTTCGATCTTATCGACGTAATAATAAGAAAATATGAACTGATGTTTTTCACAAAAGAAAGAACTTTTAAAAGAAAAGGGAAAAAATAACGAAATAACAAATCGACAAAAAATTAAAAATAAAGAAAGCGATGATATGGAGTCGAAAAAAAAGTTAAAAAATAAATGTGTAAATGATCGTGACGCGATCCACGGCCGTCTGTTTTGGGGCCGCCCGATTACCGACCGAGCTATTATGACATTTTCGCTTGCGGCGAAATTTACCGTCATATTCGAATTATATTTTTCATTCCCTGAAAACAGGGATAAAAGGACATTTTCTAAAAATGAAACCTAGCTAGATCGATTTTTCGCCCCCAAATCTACGCACATACTAAATTTCATGAAAATCGCTGGAGCCGTTTCAGAGATTCCGATTATATATATATACAAGAATTGCTCGTTTAAAGGATAAGATAATACGTTACAGTACGGAAAAAATAAGTTATTTAAGTGATTTTTTATTAATGGCTTGCTTTTTGAGCCAATGTCAAGTTATTCTTAAAATTCAAAATTTTAAAATATTCGCATTAAAATTTGAAATAGCAAAAAACTTCAAAAATCCATGGATTGACTCATGAATGAAGCTGGCGTATTTCCTGATTTGATGAAACACAGTAAAGTCATACTTTTATTTAAATCCAGTAGTTCTTTTGACCCCACTAACTTTAGGCCTATTTCTATTTTACCGACTCTTAGTAAAATTTTCGAAAAACTTATTCTTGATCAGCTGTTAAGACATTTTAATTTAATCAAATTATTACCCAAGAATCAGTTTGGTTTTACAAGAGGTCGTTCTACAACCGATGCTAGTGTAGAACTGATTAAGGATATATATTTGATATATATTTGAGGATATATTTGGACAGGATGCTCTGGGTATTTTTTGTGATCTTTCCAAGGCTTTTGATTGCGTCAATCATGAAACACTTATCAGGAAATTACGCCATTATGGCATTAAAAATACCGCGCTTGACTTGATTAAGTCATATTTAAGTAAAATAATTCAGAAAGATGTAATTAATGGTGCTAGTTCTTCTGGGTCGATGATATCAATGGGCGTTCCGCAGGGCTCAATTTTCGGCCCATTCCTTTTTCTCGTTTATATTAATGATTTACCCTACTTAATAGGAAAAAAACGTGACATAGAACATCAGATCAATTTAAACGTAAACGTTTAAATTATTGCGAAGGCATATTAACCCATTGCGGAATATCTTGACGACGCCAATGTGTGGGGTTAGTACTGTTGATACTCACGTAGGTTAAATTAAGATTTATACCTATCCTATTATATTGTAAACTAATCGTTTTAAAAAAAGAGCAACTGTTGAATTTCTTGCCGCTTTCTTCTCAACAGAAACTGCTTTCCGAACCGGTGGTAGCTTACTTACGAAAGTATTAATTTTTATGTAAAATGTTGACGTTTCATAAGAAGCGTAAGCGTCTAAGATGTGAATAAATATATTTTTGATTTGATTTGATTTTGATAGTGTTGTTTGTCGATGATACTTCATTAATCTTTAAAATTAAGCGACGTATTGTAACACTTGACGAGGTAAATCATGCTATGTCAGAAATAGTTCATTGGTTTAATGCTAATAATTTACTGTTAAATGGCAATAAAACTAAATGTATGAAATTTTCGGCACTTAATTTTAAACACTTGTGGTGCCAATGTACTTATAAATGGGGACGAGTTAGGCCTTGTGGATACCACTGTTTTTCTAGGAATAACTCTTGATTCAAAGCTTCAATGGGGCCCCCATATATCCAAACTTGCTAGCAGACTAAGTTCTGCAGCATATGCTGTAAGGAAAATAAGATGTTTGACTGGTGTAAATACAGCTAGAATCGTATTTTTTAGTTATTTCCATAGTATAATATCAACGGTATTTTGCTATGGGAGCATGCAGCCGATGTTGAAACAATATTTATTTTGCAAAAAAGGGCCATAACAGCAATTTACAACCTTAATTTGAATGCATCTTTGAGAGAGAAATTTGGAGAAATTAAAATAATTTTAATAAGAATACTGATGTACATAATGGAAACACTAGGACCAAACACAAGCTTGTAATGCCAGTTACTAGATTCCAAAGAGTCAATAACTCGTTCATGGGATGGTGTATACGCTTCTACAACAAAATCCCAGTTAATGTGCAAAGCCTATCTATTAACAGGTTTAAGAAATTTATTACTTTTTAAAAGGGTTATTATAATATAAATGAATACATTAACGATAATAACCCCTGGGAATGAGATGATCGCTCCTAAGCTGTTTCTAAAAAAAAATATGCACTGTATAACAATGTATTTGTTTGAGAAAAAAAAATTACAAAAAGAGGTTACCTACGGAGTTTCTTTCGCCTTTTTCTTCTCCGTTAAAGGAACCTCATTACGAAACGGTGGTAGATTTAAATGAAATGTATTTTTCTTATTTCGATGAATAAATGATTTGATTTGATTTTGATTTGAAAGACTTCAGTTTGGGCGACCAGATTTTCGTTGTGTTAATGGAATCAATACTTGACAATGACGGTTTACAGCAGACATTGACACGTCGCACGATTCGAAACGTGCCTTAGAAATGTTACCCCAACAAGTCTGAGTGAGTCAGTGGCTGCGCCTGCATCACATCGCAACGAGGAAAATCTTCCGAGATCCTGTTTGCTTGTATGCATACGGTGTGTGATGGAAGATTAAAACAAGTCTTCGGAGGCAATAAATCATTAACGAAGACAGCTTGCAGTAAGCACGTTAAAGGCAACAAGGTCGTGGATTCACCAAAAACATCATGATATTCTCTACTCACTGCAAGGAAAAATACTTTTTTCTGGCCATTCTTTACTGAGAGTGCAACTTCATCTACGTTTTCACATATTACGGCTGAAATACGAAGACTTTGATTGTTAATTCTGGTAAGTGTTCCAAGTTCTATTATAGTATTAGTTTGAATAGGCAGCGGTCAACGAACGCGACGAAGGCTCGAGGCAAAAGCATTGCACTCGCAAATTACGCCAAACGTATTTTTTTGCATTTTATCTAAACTTTGGTTTTATGTTTTTATGCTTTGTTTATAACTTTATATACGATTCAATAATTTTAACTGTTTTATACTCTGTATTCAGACTGTCTCGTGACCATAGACTGTAAAAAGTACGAAACTTTAACTAAAACCGAATTTGACACACGCGATAAAATTAATAATAATTTTCAACTATTTTAAAACCATTTGCTGTAATAGCTTTCAATTTATCACCTTTTATTGGTTAATTGACACTGATAATATTCGTGTAAACAATAGAAACATTTTGAATGAAAGGTTTTGTAAACCGTTTAACAAAATTGAGAATAATAGTATATAATAAGGAAATAGATTTTTAATTATGCATTAAAATCGAGGAAGACGTGCCACGTAAATACTGCTAAATCTCATTTACATATATGGCATGGAATATATGAAGAATAATTTGTATGTAATACACAATTATGTGATCCAACAACGTTGTTCTGGATGTACCTACATTGCTGGATTGATGTGATTTTACTCAACGGCCTGAGACGTCGCCGGGACCTAAGCAGAATAATAAAATTTTATAGATACCCAGGCCATTCCATACATACAGGGTGGTGATTAGTGTCATGTTCTTTCTCGCATCTAAAACGAAACTAGCTCGGCAATTGTACGGAATGGTATTTAAACGGCAGTATTTAATTCATTATGGTGATTATCATAATTTGAGAATGCCGCAATGACAGACGTCTCAGGTGTTCCGCGGGGGTTGCCATCATTGCATTCTATAATTGCGGGCGCCAATTCTAAATTTAATTTACGAAAATTACGCATAATCGCGGTAACAAACGGGTTGCGGGGGCGGCGCGGGCGCGGGCGGCGGGACGAGGTGCGTTCATTGAACGTCCGCGAGCCGGCACGGGCCCAAGGTCGCAGCGTTCACTCGCCCGCCAGCCGCCGCACACCACTCGAACCGGGCGGCCGAAGGGTCTAATCCTGGCAGCTCGTAATTATTCCACCGCTCAAGGTGCCTCGCCTCGTTATATTCAGCCAGCACGCCAATTAAAGCTATTTGCTCTTAAGCCTCCAAACTATTTGAAAAAGATGAGCTAATTCTTTTACATTTACTTTGTTTATTTCAATAAAAAATTGCTGTGAGCGGTCGAAGATAAAGTGAAAGTTATGTTCGCATGCTGATGTCCGTTTGCTGATGAACGCATAACGATTATACACATAAAAGAAAACTGAGCAACTAGTGCATTAAGAGCCGATGAACGCTATTTTAATTTGTGAATGTGACCGATATTCATGTGCTAGTAATACCATATAAATTCAAAAAGAAAAACAATATATTATAAAATAGAAGGTTTGAAGACTTAATTCTCAATCAATGTGTGCCGGTGATGAACTACGGAAGGAGACGTGGTTCTTCAGAAGAAGAACCACGTTCAATCGAAGAACAATCAAAATTCAATAAAAGTTCAATCGAACGAACGTAACCAACATAGCTCAGAAGATTGGTAAGCTCAAGTATCAATGCCTACCGGCCTAAAGATCGCAGAACCGATATCCGACGGGGAAGAATCGGTAATCACAGGTGGCTCAGGGTCGTGCTTATTGGCAGTCTGTGGCTTATGTTCTAATGGTTGTGACAATAACGAAGGCGTTTTCAAATTAGATAGACACGACTTTTTTTATATTAATTTTCTATTATCATTATAAAAGAGGGATAGATTTTCTTAAAGGCTTGTGTTTTTATATAGAAAGGAGTAGACCTTTTTTGTATCTCTAGAAAATGCAGCATTTTAAGTTCATAAACAGATACATATATTAAATATTTTTCGACTATATGAACGTTTATGAACGATATAATCACTGGAGTTATTTAATAAACGTAAACTTTCGTTGTAAGCCTTTTTTCAAAAAATAAATGTTTGCATGCCAAAACAAATAAAACAATGTATATCTGATATGCCTGGTGGTTTATTTCGGCACTGCGCTTCAAAGAACATTGGCGTAGATGTTAGGTTCCATCCCGCACGTGACATGTTTCTAAAGGTAGTATTTATTTAAAAAGCTGCGTTACGAAATCTTATGGTACAGAATATGATAGTACCCCTATCTTATTCATTTTTTCATTCTTAAATAAAAATAAAAACACGAAAATATTTAATATAAAAAACTGAATAATTAAACCAGTTGCCACAAAATAAAGAAACATTGGAAACTTGTTGCCTTACATCAATAGTGTCATGTTTTAACTTCGGTGCAATAGTGATTACTTTGAAGTTTCTAGAAAGCGCGATTGGAAATTGAGTACAAATGAATACATAGTTGCATTGCCTTTTCTTATTAACTGCATTTGGTGGACGTTTGTTACAGCTATACGAAAATATTATATATACATGTAGTATGTGTGTGCAATTTAAAGTTTAAAATTTGCTTACTGGTTTTCGTCTCAGCATTTGAAAACCAATCGCTCGGGCCAGTTTCGCACGGTGCTAATAATATGAGTGAAACAAGTAGGGCACGTAATGTCACGTTTAAAATTATTGCAGGTCTCAACACCAGTAAACCGCGCCCTAGTCTGGTATGTTTGCTATTGCGAGATCAAACGCACACGTGGCAATTAATATCCATTGCTAACTAAATAGTAGAGCAATAAAAACAGTGCAAGGCGATACCATTGCGTAATGTTGGTAGACACGTTTCGTTATTATCGACGCGCGATGGTCACTCCAAATGCTATGGATGCGTTATAATTTTCCATCTATGACCGCGGCCGAACGCCGTTGGAGAAATTCCTCGGGTGTTCGGTTCAATGGCCGCGAGCGAACGCGCCTGTGTGCCGCGTGCGTAAGGCGAACACACACACACACACGCACATGCACCTTCGTCTCTGCAAACACGACCAAACCGTTACCTGCTGTACTAGTACTTCGGCTGTCACATAAGCTAACTAGCACTAACTTTTATAACTTTCAAGTTTATAAGTCGTAAAATATATCAAAACATTCGTTGATGTATAAGTAAATAATTGTTTCATTTATCTCTATGTTAAATTCGACTTGATTGTATCCCGCAGTCCAATTTTAAAGGTTCTTTTCGCCCAACTCGCTCTGACTTCCATTAAGACTTCCAAAAAGAATAAGAGCTTTTTCCCTTTGAAACTTATTTTTTCCCAAAATGCTTATAATTCGCATCATTTATTCACGAAGCAAATAACATCCAAACTTTTTGAATCAAGATAATGTTAATAAATATTCATTATTATGCGATACCATCAAATTTAATGCGAAACATAATGAACGATTTTTTTAAACAGATAAAGGCGTAAAGGAAGTAACATTCATGAGATAAATAATTATATAAAATTTGATTCAGAATGTCCGGATGCTGGATAGACGTCACGACAAACTGATCAAACTCGCTATTTATTTAAAAAACACGAAAGTTAAGGAAAAGACCTTCAAAAAATCATTTCATCATTGGATGTCAAACCTGTTCCTGGCATCTTTTGAAAAGGCAACAGATATTTGCTTGAAAACAAGGAGACGCACGAGAATTCTCAGTATTCAATAAGGCTGGAGACACTGCTACGAATCCAATCGGATTATAAAATTGTCTCGTATAAATCCTGAGTTAGACAAAGATCGATAGTGTAACTCTTTACATTGTTTTAAGTCCGAAACTGACGCTGGCTCTGTTAATTATGTTACTAATATGATAACGACTTTAACACGCAGACGCCACTTTGATTTAACCCATGACCGCAAATGCATACTCGGGCGAACATCGATCAAATATCGTATTCCTTGTACATGTTTACATCGAATCGTTTGAGATTATAATGCAAACGTTTCTATATCATATCATTAAATGAATTTCTAAGGTATGACTATCTGAGAAATGACTTTATTTTTAACCTTAAATATACCTTTATAAATATTGACGCGTTTCTCTTATATTTAAAGGTACGTTAAGATTACTACTTTCCGCGATCCTTTCGAACTCGTAATAATAAGGTAATGCCACAACTTATTATAATACACACTCTCATAATGAAGCGCAATTAAACGTCTACATAGCCATTATTACCTCGCTTTATTTTGAAAAATATTATTTCTCTCAAATAAATCCGATTTGTCTCATATTGTCAACTCGGAGTGTCTCAATTTATTGTTCTCATTTCTTTTTTTTTTATGAAATATCCAAATTAGTTCGCTGGTAAAGAGACAAAATAAATAAGGGACATTACGAGCGCGGTTAATAAGGCAAACAATGGCTGTTACGATTATGTTTCCGAGAACTAACAATGGAACGTGTTTTAGCTATCTGAAACAAGATTAAAGGTCACAGAGATTGTGTAAATTTGACCCGAGACCCGGACTCTATGCGATAAAACGAACAATACTATTTTATACCTACCGGTAAATAGATGTTCAAATTTGTATTTCTATTTCAACACTCTGTACTTATAATTGGAGTGCCAATCTTTCAACCATAGCGAATGCTTTATCTGATTTTGTCAGTTAAAGTGCAACAATGAACGTCCATGTTTCACTCGTCCTCAACGTTTCTAATCCGATATAGGCTGTCCATTTACATAGAGTTCGGGTAATCATAGAGTAAAGACCGCGCGAAAAACGAGTTTTTTTGTTTAAATATTGTTGACAATTGATATCTAAACCTATAATAAAATTGTACTGATCGTTGTCTGTACACGGAAGATGTTTGACATAAACTAGTATCAACTTTTATCAACGCAGTAGAACCCAAAACAATGATTGTTAAAATTTTTGCCTGTTTGTATGTGCGTTTGTGTGCGAATCTCAGAAACGGTTTATCCGATTTGGGTGCAACTTTCATTAATGCACTGTAGTAGCTTAAGTGTTAGTTTTATTTAAATCGGTTCATAAATAAAAAAAAGTTAATCAACTTAAAGAATCACGTTAAAGATTTGTGCGATAAAATGCTATTTTTGTTTTATGTGAAAAAGTAGCAATGTGCTGACGGTTTACCTCATGTAAAGTAATATCCGCCGCCCATGGACATTTGCAACACCCATAGGGTTGCAAATGCGTTGCCACCTTTAAATAAAGTGGGCCCTGGCTACCTCACTCACTTGAGAGTGAGGTAGCCAGGCCACTTGACATCGATGAAAATAAAATAAAATAATGCGACTCGATACATTCTAAATCTCTCTAAGCTTTTAAACGTATTTAATTTCTATACTGATTTCGTATTAAGGCCGTGTTTTTATTTATAAAGGTTAAAAAAAACATTTATTGATAATTAACGGTAAAAAGGTACTGTCTAACATAACTACGTAACATTATGTTACGTAATTATGTTAGACGGGAATCGTAAAGTAAGTCATAAATTGTGGGTCACAGAGCGGAAGAGGCGACGCTCGGGTGTCGAAATACGCTACGACTATCAATCTTATTGAGATAACTCATTTTCTCATATACCTAATTGACATTAAAATACATGTCTGCTTAAGTTCAAGCAGCAACAAACCACAAAATACCATAAGAGAGTAACATGCGAGTTGTGAATCTGTCATTTATTTACCAACAAAAGATTTTTATAATCATCATCATTATTCCGTTAAATACATTTTGTGGTGGTAGAGCCACGCAGCAGCGTCGGCTGTTGCACGAATGGGCAGGCCCGTCCGGGTAAGTACCACGACGTCACAGAAGACCAGCGTAAAGTGGAAGTATAAAATAATAAAGTGGACAAATACTTTCGCGTTTCGCCTGGTGAGTGAGGTAGCCGGAGCCCAATTTTCAAAAGGTTTTCAACGCATCTGCAACCCTCGGGTGTCGCAGATGTCCATGGGCGGCGGTATTCACTTAACATCAGGCGAACCGTCTGTCCGTTTGGAAACTTTTCGCATAAAAAAAAACACATATCCTTTTGAAATATTATTCAAAAAGAAATCAATAAAAAAACTACATTGGACTAAATCGTTTGGAATGCCCCGAGAGGAGTGGTGAAAATGCGATCCTTATAATGGTATAAGGAATCGCATTTTCACAGCTTCTGTATTCATTATAAATGTTCAGGACTATGATACCTGTCTACTTCCTAAGATATTATGTTAACTGGCATTTGACAAAAGAAACTACGTACTTGCTTTGTTAAAACGGTTTACTTTATACTAATCGGTTCATTAAAAAACGACAGTCAGTTATAGCCACCTAAACATAGCCACCTAAACATAAATGAAGAAATTACTCATTATAATGTCATATATAAAATCCAAATATTTCACCTGATGAAACGTAAATTTATGATGAGGTTAGCGGATTTTACGCGTGCCAATGGCACTTTTCCGGACTAGTCTGCTTACATCATACAGCAGCTGACGATGCCTTTTAGCTCCATCACACAACGTTTTGTTAAAATCATGACAATCCGAGTTTGTTTTATTCATTGATATTTCTCGGAATAAAAAAAATTGGTGGATATGTAAGCAGAAGCCAAGTAAGGATAAACTACTAATACCGTATTAAAATGAATTCCCAAAGTCTAAGATCCGCTCTCCTTGGTTCTAGCATGCTTACTTAAAAATAATACTTTGATAATTACGCATCGAAAAAGATTAATATTTGATCGCCCTGTTTTTGTAACCTGGTCGGTAGACTGTGGTTATCCCTATCCAACAACACCAAAGTGCTAATTTTCTTAAATATGACTATGTAACTCAATATATTTCATTAACTTTGGCATACCATTCATAAGATGTTTACCATGACGTGTTTATGGGACGGTATCAAGATTTCCTTCTTAGCGCTACAATTCTAAAATAACAAGAAAATTTTTAGTTGTTTTGATGTCTTAGCTCTTGTTATTGTTAGCTATACTTTGTTTTATCGAGCTAAGAAGGTAGAAATATAAATACTTTTACCAAATCACCGTAGTTTCACTTTGCACAACAATAACACTGGTATAATTACTTATTTTATCACTTTAATATCACTAATGAAACACCACTCTAACTATTTAATTTATGATACCGATTGGGCAGCACTATCTTGTATACTTCTGGTATGACAGCCAAAGAAGACGACGACTACGACGAAGACCATGAAATGCTTCTTGCAGCTTCATTTATACCCCACAGAATGACACTTCTTTTAGTATTGCCAACAACCCCAAGGAATGACTTCCTTTAGTGTTGCCAACACGGCCCTCCTGCTTTGTGCATGTCCCAGGCACAATGCAAAACCAGTCGCCGGGAACAAACATGACAGAATTAACTGAAAACAACATCTTGTTTTTAAACATTACTGCTCGGCCATTCCTTTCCTTAAATCCTTTCCAGAAATTCCACTGCGTTGAATTCTATACGATTTCCTTAGTCTGATAATACTTTTAAGATATTCTAATTGTCTAATGGAAAACGTTTATTCTAGAAAACCCAAAGGAAACTGTTCATAAATCATTTGTAACACACAAACTACTTTAGGCATAAAATGCCCCGCAAAAATAATAAGCTTAAGTAGATTGTACCCGATAACCCTAAACATTGTCTTTAGGCTTAGACAACGTTTAACGAGATTCATCACTCCCTTAATCCGTAGTAGCGCCTGTTCCAGTTCACACCTTTAGTCTTAGGTAGAGACTGCTTCAGCTCACTACTCCTATTCTGGTGAGTAATACTGTCATCTCTAGGTTATCCACTACATGCTCATCACTCCCTTAATCCGGGGTAGCGTCTGTTCCAGTTCACACCTTTAGTCTTAGGTAGACTGCTTCAGCTCACTACTCCGATTATGGCGAGTAATACTGTCACCCATAGGTTATCCACTAGCTGCCCTTATAATGTTAAGACAACAGTCAACATGGGCTTATAAAAATAATTAAAATTTTACCTTACGAACACGCTTCAATTTTAAACTATAACCTAGATAACATCCCAGTTATCAATCTTAATCGACAATTTCATGTATTTCCAATTGATCACCACTCATACCAAATCTTAGCAGACCCTTTAAGCTTTTCAAAGTCTGGTAACGTATCGTACTATGATTCCACGAAAACTAATGCATAAGATTCTATTATGTCAATCTATTTTTTTTTTCATTACTATACTTTACACTCGTAGGGCGCGAATACTAATTACACACAAGAGTTAAATCCCGCTTCTGATGTTAGCTATACTTTGTTTTATCGAGCTAAGAAGGTAGAAATATAAATACTTTTACCAAATCACCGTAGTTTCACTTTGCACAACAATAACACTGGTATAATTACTTATTTTATCACTTTAATATCACTAATGTAACACCACTCTAACTATTTAATTTATGATATCGATTGGGCAGAACTATCTTGTATACTTCTGGTATGACAGCCAAAGAAGAAGACGAAGACGACGAAGACCATGAAATGCTTCGTGCAGCTTCATTTATACCCCACAGAATGACACTTCTTTTAGTATTGCCAACAACCTCAAGGAATGACTTCCTTTAGTGTTGCCAACATTATATAAACTGTTTACACGTTGTTTGATATTTAAATAAATCTTTAATAAAATATAGTAACCAGCTTGGTATCATCCCACTGCTGGTCGAACGACTCGTCTGAACAAAGGATGTTGTCCTTTTTGTTGTTGTTATTTCCAAATGTATTCTTATTAATACAAAAATAAAATACGTTTAGAAAGGCCCTTTTTCCACTAACATATGTTTTAAATCGTATTCTTTACCAGCAAAACTAGTCATACACGTCTTTTCGTAACATTGTCTTTAGATTCTTACGAAACTATCAGGTATTAGCAGATTTTCTGACGTCAATTTCACACTATAGCAAATAATTTATAGCTTATGAAAAAATATGTTAATGGACAGATAAATGAATAAATGTGAACAAATTACTCTTGACTTTCTGTTACATTACAGTTATTAAATTTTATTTACGATTAAATACTACACGGAAATTCAATAATTGTCTGCAATCGTTGTGATGTAAGTTCGATTCTCCGTTAAGACAATATTTTCTCCATTTAAATTTGTTAGCTGTCATACTTTGTTCCTTGTCCGCCGATGCATAAGATTTTGCAAACCCCTTGTTATACAATAGGGTTTATGGTTTTTTATTTATTGGTACATCAATGAGGTCAAGTTATTGAGATACAATTCCTGGATACTTTAAAGATATCACATTATATCATTGTAAATATTAACATTATCTACCTAGTATAAACAAGATGGTGCTATTGCTTGCAGTGGGCTAAAACATCATTAACCACTATGATTACTATAGGGAGAGAAGCGTGGGCAGGCAGCGCCAATCAACGCCCACAATTGACTATATCATGCTAACACAAACATCTAAAGAACGAGTACATTCAGCGAAATACGAGCGGACATTGTTGCAAATTTGCAATGGTCGGTACAGGAACGATGGCGAATCCAAGTCGCACTGACATTGCGTACAGATACAATCCGGCATTCCATATGGAATGCGGTCGCTCGACCGGCCGCACTCCGCCCCGCGGCGACGCCCGCTCTCCTTCATGTTTTCTTAGCCATTCGCTTCCGTCCACCATCCAATAATCTCATATAGTAGGATAGGACCAAATCTAACAAGATTCCTGTAAGTACTTGCGGAAAGCAAACAAAAAATAATGACATGTTTTCAATCAATGCATCATCGTACAGACAGCTTATAATGTGTACTACAAAATTCAAATAATGGAAAAGAAACAAACACCGATTGAAGTATAGCTGAAGAGATACACAGAACAAGTGGAAAATTTTTGCAAGCGATCAGGACACGGTTTTCTTGCACAGCGTTCCAGAGCGTATCGACGAGACGACCGCCACGTCGCGACGACCCGACGTCCCGTACATACAAGCATCATTCGCCGAATCGAGAATTTCACTCACCTTCTTGGAAAAGCTGCCGATAGTTATAAATATCCTCTAACTCCAACGCACAGATAATCCGGTTATCGTTCGTACGCCACAAATATTCACCACACCAAAACGACAACATAAATAAGCGCGGGAGCTGTCCCGAATCGGCTACGGAACCGCTCACTGTCGGCGCACTCCTTGCACTGGTCGAAATGCAACTCGGAAAATGCGGGGCGGGGTTGTCGAATGTCATAAACGGTCTGTTCTAGAGGTCGGACACTTGGAGTGCGAGTGCAACACTGCGATATACCAACGTTCGCACTGAAGTTGCGGAGCGGACTGAGCGGCGAGGGGGCTCCGGCCGGCGTCGGACTCGGTGATGTGAGCGTGGGGAGCGGTGCGGGGCGTGCGCGCTCGAGTCGCCGTGCCGACGTGGCCGCCCGCCGCCGCCGCCGCTTAGCAACGCGCCGCTCGCCCGGCGGCCCGCAGGACCCGAGATGAATTGTCACAAGTCACAAGTAGTCCTATGAATATGGAAACATAAAATCCAAGCAAGGCCATTCCGTGTTCTTCATTTTCGTGAATTCTAACCCCGTGTAATATGACCTTTTTCCAAATATAAAGGTCACTGCATATAGCGAATTTGTAAAATAGACGTTCATACAACATTTTAAAATTGTTAAATATCTACTGGAAGGACCACTGCTAATCTATTTAGTAAGATACACATCTTTAGGACCAAAACAATCATGCCTTGGTTGTAACTTATATTGATCTTTTTTTTAATAAGTAGGTAGGTAAGTATATTCTTTTGTGATTACATTGATTGATTTTTTTTAATTCAAAATAGATACTTCATAATGGCTCTCTCGTCTGATTATAAATGTATATAATCAAAGGCTCTATCCTTATAAAAGTGAACCGTCATGTATGCTTATTTCTTTCCGAATAGCTGGGTAAAGAAATCTTATATTACAATACACAGTGATATAAAGTATGCTCTTTTATGTAAGTTAAGACAATATTTAGATATAAAAATCGTTAGTTACATCATATTAATCATTACCTTTATTTTAAAGTTAAATAATATTAACTTGTATTCTCAAACAATTCCTGCAGTATCCTACAATTAGTGCATTTTCTTTCCCATTGTTAGTGTGATGAAATCAGTTTTACTATCTTTCGATCGAAAGAGAATGGTGAGTGGTGAGATCGAGAGCTTATTGTATAACTTTATACCAAGTGCATCCGCTAGTTACTAACGGTAGAATACTTGAGATATTTAATTGAATAATCGTCCTTAAATAGTAATCGTCCTTATGTCAATGAGTGATCAAGTATTTGCCACCTACAACTACATGATAATTCATCACCAAATGCGATAGTTATTAAATACAACACATTTTAACTGTGGTAGGGCCACGCAACAACTTCGTCTGTTGCTCGAATGTGCAGGTTCGTCCGGGTAAGTACCACGACCTCACAGAAGACCGATGTGAAGTGAAGGAGGTGGCAACGCATTTGCAAGCCAATGGCTGTTGCATATGTCCAAGAGCGGCGGTTATCACTTAACATCAGGTAAACCTTCTTCCTTGTTTATCAAGTAATTCTTACATAAAAAAAAGTAAATAAGTACCTAATTAAATACAAGATACCTAATTCGAAAAAAAAACCTTCTAAATAACCTTCAAATGTATGTTGTTTCTCTGGCATGCTTCATATTATTCGAAGTAAGCGTGCGTCCCCCTCAACAGAATACATAATGCAGTGTTCCTAGTCGCCTTCGCGGTCCTCGTACTTTCACCTGCTGTGTAAGTACCTGCAATTACACGCAACCTCGGCTCATTTCGCACGCCTCGCTCCTGTATCATTTGTGCAAATTGAGAATAACAACTCTTCGATACGACTGTACCTATCCGTTTCAAAATTATTTCTCAATTATTTAATCGAACTATTACGACCTACTATTATTTTTTTAACAACAGTCCATAATTCTTTATATTATTCAGTTTTTTTCCTTTTAAGTTGACGTTAGGTGACTCTTAGGATATAAGTTGACGTTAAGTGACTCCTAGGCTCTTAGGTTAGACTTAACGTCTTACACATTTGTGCAACAGCAGAATTTGTTGCGCGGCCGTACTAAGTAGTAGTTAGGTTAAGGCCAGTTATCCCCTCCGACCGGGTTCCCGCCTTGACGTGGCGGAGGGGCTTAGTAGCCATGGCTTGGTCCCCCACGGCGAAGCTAAGAGGAACCCACACTGGGCCGGCCTGTGGTGTAAGGCCGGCCCAAGAGGGCCGCTCCGAGTGGACTCAATGAGCCCACTCTGGATGCGTGCTGGAGGGTGCAGGGGACAAGTCGAGGGTGGTAGAGGTGGAGCCACTGTCCCAGTCTTCTGATACCGAGGAGGAGTCGCGGGGGAAGAGGAGTGTCGGCATTGCGTCGGCCGTGCTCCCTATCCTCCGCGACTCGGCGGGGCTGCACCGCTGATGCAGCTGTGGTGGGGCCGCGGGGGGAGAGGAGTGTCGGTATTGCGGTGCGCCGTTCTCCCTATGAAGTGGGGAGTTCGTTGGCCGTGAAAATGGGGCCGAGTAGGAAAGCGCGCTGAATGTTCCAGCGCGCCTTACCTGGAGGAGAGGGGAGTTGCTCCCCGTGAGGGAACTGCTAAGGCGGCCAGCGCTGGCAGGGTCCGCGGAAATGTGCGAAAGCGTTCCCGTGACCCTGCCGATATGCGCCTAGGTGTAACATCGTGGGGGTTTTAGTCGGTGCGAGTGCCGATATAACCTTCAGAATTTTTCTTAGTGTTAACTTCCTTAAAGTCAGTTTAACAGTGTACCGTGAGGTATTTTATCCCTGGGAAGACAGCTTCAAACTTGCGACACTCATAACAATTCACTTTCAGGAATTTAATAATATGTGTATGGTCTAGAGATTTCTTTCACTATACGATCGTTTATGTGTAAATAACGGTTGGTAAAAAGCATTACACCATTCCTTGCATTTGTAGTCGTGTCTCTGCATTTGTAGCTGCAGATTTATTAAAGCTGACCACTGTAATTCAATCATTTCATATCACTTTATCATTAACAAACCCTTATCCGGGTGTACACTTAAATGTCTGAAACCAATACAGTAGAGACGACATTCGTACAAATTGCACAAAAATAAACAATCAGATCCCTAAGAATTATTTGTAGATACATGAATGGTTCGTAGCAGTCTGTGGCGGAGGCCTATGTTCAGCAGTGTTACCAAAACCAAACAGCCTGAAATGATATAAAAAAATATTCCGGGTGGGAATGGAACTCATGATCCGCTGCGACTACACCAATAAACCGTTGCCAAGTTATTGGCTTTGGCGTCGGGGGTCGTGGGTCGTGGGTCCAATTCCCACACGGGACGAGTATTTGTGTGACCCCCGGTCCCAGATAATTGTCCCGGATTTGAGTGTGGTAACAAACAACCCAGGGTAACAAACCCAGGGAGGGTTGATATTGGGTAGACCGGCCGGTCGTAAAACACAGCCAAAACTGCTTACAACCGTTTTTGTGCCGACCCCACCTAATAAGGTCAGGAGGATAATGATGATTTGCGATTAAGGAGTTTTTATTTTAAAGACAAAAATACGATCTAAGGGATACAGAAATAAGAAAGATAAATAGACAACACCACATTTATATCATATTATTTTAATGCTTCACTTCTACACGAGATCGTAACTACATTACAATTTTGCCTTAATTTCATCATTCGTAAAGTCATCCAAACGTAAGAGAGGATAGAATATATAATATTTATGTGATATTAATTATTATGCTATATCTTGTACACATAATATTTATACTGATATATATTAGACAAATGATTCAACAAATATTTAAAGTTTAGATAATTCAAACACTAATGGACATCTAGTAATTAGTACGATAACCGTATGTTTTTATTTCATTAAATCGCCGCTTATGTCATAGAGAGAATCCTTAAACATACAAGTTATATTTAAACATATATGTGTAATATACCAGTAAGGAAACTGTTTAAATATTCAAGAGCAGGATATCCCAAAATTTTTCTTAAAAGGAATATTTTGGGTACGATAAGGACCTACAAAATGTTTCATGGTTGATTTTTAGGCCATGATCACAGAGACGATGTTTTTGTAGCGCGCAGTAAAGCGCTAAAACGACTCCACTGGGGTACCGGTAGAACAATTCGAACTGACTGCTCAAGTGCAAATGATTATTTAAATGCGAGCAACGCCCTAGAGACGTTTGTTAAGTAAAAGAAAACTCAAACTAGATAAGCCAAACGGAACGTTTTTCTATTCGACGCGGTGAGGCGAAGGGCGCTCAGAGCCAGGGGTGCCAGGCGGGGTCCATGCGGCAGAGGTTGTCGTGGCTGTTGGCGGCGGTGACCAGGGTCGCCACCTTGCTGTCGGGCCCGTCGAACAGCGCCAGCGCGTTGAGCCGGTTGCTGATCACGGTCACCGCCTTGGTCACCATGCCGATCACGGTCTCGTTGTCCACCTCGGCCGGCCTGCCCTCCGCGGGGCCGCCCGCCGCCACAGCGCCCGACTTGTCCTCCAGCCGCTTCCTGCACCCGGTGACCATCTCGTCGCGCAGTATCGTCCGCAGGATGGACTGGATCTGCGAACGGAGAACGCGCTCAGCCACTGGCTAAGTCTCCGCGGTTGAGCTGGCGCTGGGTAGTGGTGACACAGCGATGGCTCACCGCGGATGGAAAAGGTCCGGCGACGGCCCGGACGGGTTTTGTCCTTGCGCAAGGTCAAGGGCGACGTTCAATGGAAGGACGTTCGTTGGCTACCTCGACGACTAACGTTCTCTACTTAATTGTAAAAAAAATAGATTTTTCTGTATTTGTATATCTGGGAAATATGAATATGTAAAATGCAGATTGCATTGCATTCTAGACGTAGGAACCGTAAAAACGTGTTCAAAGAAACCGATAATTATTGTGTGCCAATTCTATATTTTCGCCATGAAGTGACAGCCAAATTCAATGAAATATGATTATAATGAAAAAATTGACTATTCATTTTTTTTCCCTACTTTAGTAGTTTAGCTAATATAGTTGAAAAAAACGACATACAACATGAAGTCTCGAAGAAGTAATAGTCTGTGAAGAAAGTTGAACAAATCATTAAGCACGGCATTAGAACTAAATTTGTTACTTTGAAATTGGGCGTGACGAGGCATCGGGCGACTGCGATTGCCGAGGCGGTGAGTGGGCCCGTGATGCCCATGTTGGTCAGCAGCTCCGATATGTTGGGCGTCAGACGGAACGGCACCGGGCGGTTGCCGTCCAGTTCCCCTGCGGACGCAGAGAGCGGTCATTCGAATTGTACTTTGCAGTAACGGCCTGCCTCATCCGGGATATTGCCACGGCCTCACAGGGGACAGGAGTAATATACCGGCGAATTACGTAATCGGTGCCCATAGTGATTTCTTATTTAGATTTTTATCGCAGGAATGGGCGGATTCGTCCAGGGGAATTTCACGGCGCCGGACGGACGGCGTGAAGTGAATTAGTATAATATTTTTACGGTATCCTTGGTGAGTGAGGTAACCCCGACCCAATCTTTTTACAGGTTGGCAACGCAACTCCAACCTCACGAGGGCTCGGTCACAGGCGGTGATCATCATCTTGCAAAAACATCTTGCTGCGTACGTCTTACCGTCAGGTTGTAATGTAGGCGTTTAGGCAGCGACATCTACTGAGTACGCACTTGATGTGCTTTGAAACTGCAGCTGCATCGTTGCGAAACAATCGACATCCGTTGCGCACTCGAGTGCGGCGCGTGTTTATAAAGCGTGTTCAAACAATCACCCGTTGTGTCGTCGACGTCGAACTTGTAGTAGGCGACGTTGAGCAGCCCCGAGTCCTGGTGGACGTACATCATGTCGGGGTTGAGCCGCGTCAGGTGCAGCACGTACTCGGCGAAGGCGGCCAGCGAGAGCTGCAGCGTCAGCATCTTGCGGAACGTCCAGTAGTCGGTCGGCGCGGCGAACGTGGCCGCCGCCCACTCGCGCACCATGCCCTTCGGCACCATGGTGGCTTGCACCTGCGCATTGGCGAACGGATAACTGCTTCTATCCTTTTGGAGAATGTGAACAATAACTAATGTTTGCGGACACATTTTTACACAACGTTCTCTGGTCCCAAACTAAGCGACGCTTGTACTACTAGGAAATTGATAAACACATAACTAAACATGTTTTTTTTTTTTTTGTAAATAAATACATATTATACATATGTAAATACCCAGTCACTGGAAAAAAAACCTATGTTCATCGCAATACCTTTCCATGACTCCACACCCTCTGTGGCAATATACAGGTTCACTGCTCTCCACGCCAATCGAGTCGAGAAATGACTTGTGCCCATGGATATTGCAACTCCGTAAGGGTTGTGTGCGAGACGTCAACCTTGAAGGCAGTGGACTTCTTTCTTCCAATCTTCTTAACAAATGAAAAGTTTGAATTCTGCTTCCCGTTTAATTTACGCGAGAACCCGGTATATACATGGTCACGTCGATCCGTTAGGTCTGCCATAGTTAGTCTCACGGTATTCCACCTTCGCAATTAATATAAATACTAATTGGTACTGTGTGTAAGATATGAACCATATAATCGCCCGGTTCTACTTAAACGGTATCCGGTAACACTGACATAATTAAAAGTAAGTTAAAAGAGGTACCACAACTTCTATGAAAGTCGACGCAAGTAACTTACGTTGAGCTTAAGTAACTAGTGGCAGGCCCTGTTTGCTAACCCTTGCTGGAACACCTGCAATATCTCTCACTAGCGGATGCACTAATCCGCAAGATCACGGGAGCTATCAGGTGAATCAGTAACGTTTCTTTAGGATGAAAAATAGCGACCACGATCGGATCAACAAGTCGTTCAAAAGCTACACGATAAGAAGGTAAATTTTAACAACCCCCTAACAAATACTCGTAACATAATGATCGCCTTAGAAAGAAGGAAATTTGCACAGCATACTAAAATAGAAAAAACAAAATCACAGTAAGAGTTTAATGTCCTAAACAACCGATCAAAAAAGTGCTTACAGTAGATCAAGAAGATAAAAGAATTTTTAAAATATTAAAAAAGGTACTGCTTTTACACGACGGTAAAGGTCAAATCTATCTCTCAACGTAAATGGATAATGTATATCTATATGTAGGAGTGTCTCACATATTACTCTATAAAACGCTCCGTAAACTCTTACTAAAAGATTACAGAGAGTTTTATGAGAGTAGCTCCACACGACACTCGGGTCACTAATCGATGTCCCAGCCAAGTTCATATGTAAGGGTTTGTATTATTCTTCATTTGAAATATGCGACTTAATAAAAATGATGACCATTATGTATAAATTAACTCATGGAATTTTATGTTATAGATATACAGTTTTTTTTTATATTCAGTAGCAAATGTATTGTTGATTTCTTAATTTTACGCGAATAAAGTTTAGGGATTTCCCTCGTGTGTTTTCCCGTGACCATGACCGATGGAAAGGATTCGAAATTCGAAAGGTCTGGAATTAAAAATAAAAGTTAAAACGCTATAAAATCCGTAAACTAGTTTCATTTAATGAAAATATTGTTGCTTCATCGACTTAATGTTGACGACAAATTATCCTAATTAATGTTTCTAATGAAGTTATAAGTATGTGTTTACGGTTTCCAATTTCGCGAGCACCACCGCTTAAATGACTTTCCGCTGTCCTTAGAAACAAGTCTGATTGGCCTTTAAGTCTCTATTCACATGTGCAGTGGAAGATTGCTAGTTCCGGACATGGATTCGTCGTGTTTCGTCATCGGTATCAGTATGACTAATTGAAAAAATATAATACTTTATACGGTTTATTCAGAATGACACATTTAATACAAACAGAAGTTTTTGGGAATAAAACAGCTTCCTTATATTGCATTGGTAACATTATTTTTCAATATGATAATGCTATAATAAACAACATAACCGTTTTCAGACAACTTTAAAATTCACTCAGTTTATTTATCCTTTAATGTCCAATCTTCAATAATCGAATGGAAGCAATGCCGTTCACCACAATGTATTAAGGTTAATGTTTTTTCTTCACACTACCTATAATGTATCAGCTGTGCTTTTTTATTTCTGCGGTCACGATCTTGCATTGCACAAAATACATCCTATTGAGACCGGTTACAGGAGGACCGGTGCAATCTTTATCGAATATCATTTAAAATTGGCAATTTTAATTGCCTGCTTAACAGCACCGCTGAAGTTCTCTCTAAAGATACTAAAAAGTTATGCATAATTCATAAATCGTTTAAGATGTTTAATAGATTACGAAGTTTCAGTATAGTTTTTATGTTTTTATCGTAACGATTAACTTATTTCGTACTGATAATTCTAATTTAATTCATAATGTACACCGCTGTTTGTACGTTGTTTGCACCTACAGTTGGAGTGGCACCAATCTTGTGTTACGGTTTTATTCAACTTGTGATGGCGTCTCCTCTGTTGGTGCAACCGAGTAAATAATTTAATAAATAAATAAATAAATAAAAAGAAGTATAACTTCAAAAGGTTTCTTTTCCTTTAAAATCATAAGAAAATGTTTACCTCCCGTAATATGTCGCGCAGCACTTGGTGAGATGCCTGCGAGCCGCGCGCCTGCACCGCCGCGAGCCGCTCGTAGTAACGGGCGACCGGTGCGTCATATTCAACACCCCTGCAACCAGAAATTTAAATTGTTTGTAGTGCTAATCTTTGCACTTAAGCAATCTTAAGATGTATGTATGATGTATGTTGTAATACATTAAAATATGTAGAAAAAGTATGAGTTAAAGGATGTAGATAAAAGACGTTAAGATTTTCGTCGGCGTGGCAATCAGCCGTTTAGCTTAGTGGCTAAAGCGTCAGGCCGCGAATGCCGAAGACGTGGGTTCGATTCCCACAGCGGCGACAACACTTTACAGTGGAAGTATAATACTTTCGCGTTTCGTCTGGTGAGTGAGGTAGCCGGAGACCAATTATCAAAATATTCTCAACACATCTGCAACCCTCGGGTTTAGCAGATGTCCATGGGCGGCGGTATTCACTTAACATCAGGTGAACCGTCTGCTTGCTCGGCAACTTTTCACATAAAAAAAATATACTCTTTACCCAGGTCAAATTATTTCATTTTACGATCAACCTTTAAACACGTTTGATTTGATTTTAGTGTAAAACTAAAGACATGTCATAAGCTTGGGTAACTTTACATAATTATGAATCAAACCCCGGCCTCCTGATTATTTGTGAAAGAAAAATCAATATCTTTTTTAAAAAATAAGAAAAACAAATTGTGCTCGTTACTGCAAAAGGAACTAAATTTCGAAACCCACTTATAACTAATTAACCAGGCATGAGATCACCGTTTAATGGCTTTCGTCGGAGATAAAATATGCGGATGACATTACGGACATAAATCTCAATAAGTATATCAGAAAGCATAGCATAAAGTAAAAAAAAACTGGTTTGAAAAAGAGCTTTCCAGAGAAAAAAAACTTGATTTGTAAAAGTCTTCTTTATAGAGATGTGAATCTTCATTGAATAAATAAAACAATTAGCGTCAATGTCCATCTGACCTCCATGATAATAGGTTTGTTTTATTAGTGCCGTGGTCGGTGTGAACATCGATATATCTTTCATTCCAATTAAAATTCAAATTAATTTAATGTTATTGCTTTAATATTACTTTACTTTTGTCAGTTGTTTTCCCGCCGTTCGATTATTGTTGTCTATTTAAATTTTTTCGATCCATTTCGGTATATTGCCATTTTTTTTGCCGATTTATTTCGTTGTTTCGAATATGAATTTCGTAACTGCTAACTCCCTTGGTAGCTAAGGGAGGTGGCTTTACGGTTAGAGCTCCCTCCCGTTGTGCCCACGAAATGACGTCCCAATTAGCAGCGATCTTCAACGTAAGTTAATAAACAATACTTATTTATTTAATTATTAGGGTGTGAATAAAACAGCTCGAAAAGTAAGCACCGTATAAACTTAATAAAAAGCGACATAAAAATCGCGTCGCAGCTTGTTTAAGCGCCACATGAAGGGATTACTAGCTATTGTAGTCACCAGTTTTTCGCTACAAGCCGTTAGCTCGCCCCACACCTGATCAATGCTCAAAACTACTCGAGTTATGACTGGAGTTACAATCTACGTTCTTCTCTCTCTCTTCGATACTCGTCATAATCAAAAACTCTACAATACTCAAAGACCTTAATGATTTCATTTTTTTGGGAAATTGGTTAACCATTTATAGTGTAAAATTTTCAAATCCGATGAGACATAAAAGATAAGGTATCTTGAGAATTTTAAATATTATAAAAGAATTGGTCGTTCTCTATCTATAACAGTGGCATATGTAATGAACTAACGAGAAACTTCGATTAATTATGCATCAATTATTTTTGATGATTATAGTGTGTAGTAGCATAAAAAATATTTGAATGATTTACTAAAAAAGTCTACAAGGATTTTCATAACAACCATACGATTGTAACGTATCTGCGTTACCAAATTTCAACAAAGTGCGCCTCGGCCAGCTCACTCAGCAGACGAAACGCGGAAGTATAAACACTTCCAGTTCCCGCCGGTCGTGGTACTTCCCCAACGTCCACAAAGTCCAAAGTCAAAGTCAACGTCACCCGAACTCCCTCCGGCCAAATCGAGCAACGGATCACCTGTTGGCGCACTCGGTGCGATAAATGTCGAGCAGCGATATCGAGCTGGGGTTGTCCTCGACGAGGCGCATCTGCGGCGAGACGGACACCACGCGCGGCACGGTGAAGTGCAGGAAGCGCCTGGAGGTCTCCTTCTGCTTGGCCAGGTAGTGGTTGAGCATGCGCAGCAGCTGCAGCACGCGCTCCTCGCGCCGAGCGTCGCCCAGGCCCGAGTCGTTCACCACCAGGTACGGGTACACCTTTTTTTATATATGTATATTTTAGGACTTAAATATTTTTAAACGCAAGGCTTGCACTATGGATACTAGGTAACTGATAAACATACTTGAAATGCTTTTCATTTGTAAATAAATAAATACATATTTTATAACATTGACGATGGCTCCGTGGCGCAGTTGCCAAGCTATTGACTTCGGCGTCGGGGATCGTGCGTTCGATTCCCACACGGGACAACTCTTTCTGTGACCCACATATAGTTATTACGCATCTGTTCAGTCGTCATTACAACACTGGAAAACGCTACCTAAAGTAAGGACAATGTTTTTGAAAGTGTAAAATTGTAAAATTGTTTTAAAAAAAAAAGTTGTAAAATTGTATCGGGCAAGAGATAGGCCCACTATCCACTGAGCCAATGGGGTCATCGCACCTTGCCGTTGTGGCCGCGGATGTGCAGCCGCCGCGCGGACGTGTTGTGCTTCTGCACGATCTCGACGCGCGGCATGAAGCGCGCGATGCGCACGTGGTAGTGCGTGTGCTTCGGCAACAGGAACTCGCCGGGCAGCTCGATCTCGGCCGTCTTCAGGTTGAAGTTGGACAGGAAGCGGCACTTCTCCTCGATGAGGAACGACCTGCGTTCACGAATCGAACGCGCAAGTTGAATTCGCCCGAGGCAAAAAAAAAGCTTGAAATAAATTATGATTCTTGTATTAACTGATGTTTTTGCTTTCAGTCCCGAGACTATTAAAGCTTCATCTGACGCAGCACCGGTGGGCTAGCCAGAACCCACGGGTTTGGGCCCTCCGCTGTGGGTAGGGCCACGCATGTGCTCATGCGTGCGTTTAACTATGGTACGTCATCTAAGGGCCATCGAGGTCGTGGTTCGGACCGAAACCCCGATGGCCGTCGACTGTGCAATTACCTAATCGGTGGCTGGGGGCGGTGAGAACCGCCCCGGAACGCGGGTGTACATTGTGTACGCGTTGTGTTGGTCTCGCCGTGCTCGGAGGCGAGGGCGAACTAGTGTGTTTGTTGTGGCACTAACTGTGGGTGTAGGTTGTCCGGCGGGACCCCCGGATGTGGGTCCGGCGTGTCTAAGTCCCCTTCCTCAACCTCGACCAGGTCGATTAGGACGTTTCGCGGGCGACGCTTGTTGACGTTCGCGTTTTGGTCGGGTTGGTAATTTGCTGCGCTTACCATCAGAGGGTTGGGATGATGTTCGGCTCTATCGAAGAATCGTTTGGTCAGGTCTTTAAAATATTCGCGAATCGTCGGGAGTCTGCAATCGCTGTGCAGGTCGACGTTGCGTTGATACCACTGCGCACCGGTTGCGCGGCGGATGAACTTATTTTGTACTATTTGCAACTTGTACAAGCGAGTAGGGTGTGTGGGCGAAGGTCATGCATGCGTAAGACATAATAGGTCGTACGCAGGTCTTATATAATAATAATTTGTGCCTTAAGGGCATTTTACTTTTAGCGTTAGTTAAATTGTGTAGCCGGCCGGAGACGAACGCGGCTCTATTGCGAACGTTATTAATGTGCGTAGTAAATGACATACGCGAGTCGAAAGTGACTCCTAAGTATTTGACCTTTTTCTCCCAGAGGAGCGGTTGGCCATAAAGGCATATTTGCCCCAACTTTCTGCATTGACGAGGGCCATTATAAAGATGTGACGGGTAAGTACTTCGTGTGAAGTGAATCGCCACACTCTTTTCGGGATTTATTTATATTCTCCATTTGCGGAACCAATCGCCGAGGCGGTCGGCAGCGCTTTGGAGTCGAGCGGTTAGTTGTCTAAGGTTGCGGTCTGAATAAAAGAGCGCCGTGTCTTCCGCGAAAAGCGCGAGATTGACGTGGGGGTCTTTAGGTATATCGCTCGTGTAGAGCGTAAAGAGCAAAGGTGAGAGGCAGGAGCCTTGTGGTACGCCGGCCGTGAGGCGGCGGCTTGTGGAGAGGGTGCTTTCAACTCGATATCGAAAAGAGCGGTTCGACAGGAAGGCCTGGATGGTGTGTACGAGCCTATCTGGCACTTTGTGTGTGTACAGCTTGTAAAGAAAGCCGTTGTGCCAGACCTTGTCGAATGCTTTTGCGACATCGAAGAAAAGAGCCCCTGTACTAATATGTTTAGGGTGATTTAGGCCTTTTAGGATATGTTCCGTTAGGCGGAATAGTTGATCGGGACAGGAATGTCTAGCTCGAAAGCCGAATTGTTCCGCCGGCAGAAGGCCGTTGGAAAACACGTGCTCATTGAGCCTGTTTAATAAAAGCCGCTCGTAGAGCTTCCCCAGGCAACTGAGGAGGCTGATGGGACGATAACTAGAGGGCTGGTTGGCTGGTTTATTAGGCTTGCGAATGTCGATGACCCTGGCTTCTTTCCAGTCGTCTGGAAAGGAGCAACTGGAGAGTAAAGTATTGTAAATGGTCGCCAGTAAACAGATAAGCGGCCCAGGGAGAGCTTTAAGAATTTTGTTACTAATATTATCTGGGCCCGGGGCGGATTTGGGTTTTAAGTTTTTAATAATATCTTGAACCTCTTCGGGGGTCACTGAATTCAAAGGATCGCCTTCCGGTGGAAGCGCAGCCCTAATCTCGATTACGCGGTCCACCTCCGTTAGGTGGGCTGTATCGATGTGTTCGCGCGATGGCGTACATTGCTGCTCTAGGTTGTCCGCAAGGCATTCGGCTTTTTCGGAGTCATCTAGGACTACTGAAGCGCTATTAGGTCTAACTAACGGCGGTAGAGATTCGCGGGGGTCTGCTTTCAGACTGCGGACCAACCGCCAGTAGGCGGTGTGCGATGGCTCGATGTCCTCTAGGAGAGTGTCCCACGTTGTATGTCGGTGTTCCGATACACGATCTTTGACTTCTAGCTGAAGGCGTCGAAGTAGGGTTCGGTTCGATTCCGATCGGTATCGGTCGAAAGCACGTTTGTCTGCATTTTTCTGCCTAATTAGGAGCCGCAGTTCGGGCGGAAAGTTAAACCGTCGATCGCGAGTCTGCGACTGTGGAAGTGATGGTTTCTCGGAGACTTGCTATCGCTCGATTTGCGTCATCGAACGTAGCTATCGTCTCGGGTAGGTCGACTAAGTCCTGGGGGTCCAAGGCCTTGAGTTTGACCTCAAGACGATGCCAGTCCACTACGGATTTGGTCGGAGGGACCGCGCCGGCGTTCTGGCCCAGTTTACACAGGACGGGCCTGTGATCTGAGTCTAGTTCATGGATTGTCTCTATCGACTCGATGTCGAGCGCGACCTCCTTGAGTAACATGATATCTAGGATACTCGGTGTCGCGTGTTGGTAGTTGTCCACCGTAGGATACCTAGTGGGAGTCGCAGGAGCAATTATGCTAAAGTTTAAATTATCGGATAAGCTAAAGAGATGCTTTCCGTTGTTATTTGGGATGCTGTGGATGTCCCATGAGCCGTGTTTGCAATTTAGATCTCCTGCAATTATCACAGAAGGGCCTAAGTTAAGTAGCGTATCTAGGTCGCTTTGTAATAAGGTTTTGTTCCCCGAGAGATAGGCTGAGACTAGTACAAGCGGCCTATGGCCGGTGAGCGCTAACCTACACGCGGATTACGGGAGCTTCTAAGGTCGCGGAGGGCGACGGGGTAACGGGCGCAGACGGCGCGGGCAATGGCGGCGACGCGAGTTCAGCTAATTGCCTATGCTCGGCTTCATAAGCGAGAAAACGTTCCCACATAGCGGGGGCATTCTTTGCGTACGAACTCCTCGAAAAGGGAGCCCATCGCGACGTAAGTGCCTTTGGGGCTTGTAGCCCCGCCGGCGTGTGTGAGCTAAATAAGCCTCCCCACCTTGCGGCAGGGAGGAGTGTGCCTAGAAATAACAACAAATTTGCCTGCGCTTTAGGTGCGCTAGGATGGGTACCTAGCTGTCGCCTATTGCAACAAGCACACAGTTAATAAATGAAACAATGCCGCCTCTGAGGCGAGAAGTGTGTGTAGGATTCTACTTACAAACAGGAACCTGCCTACGAGCACAACACTAACACTAAACTACTGCACTATTTGCACAAGATTGAAATTGCAACCGAGGTTGCGAGTGGCGTCTAATTCGGGTGGCATGTGCCCTCCGTCTTAGAGAGACGTCCGTTCCGTACGAGAGCACGAAGCGGAATCTAAATTATGATTATTATTATTTAAGGTTATTGCGTTATCGTTTTGCCCTGACCCCGGTAAAAATGGTGTTGGGCAAAAAAGGTATTTTAGTGGGTACCCCGTGTTACTCGGGAACCCCTGCTACCTGCCCCCATAAGGAGTTTTTCTCACGTTAAAAAAAGGACGCGGAATGATAACTTGGCTTGGAGAAAATGCGGAAGACGCCACAGCTTTAGCCACGTGTCTTTCTGTGTTCGGAAATCTTACAAGTAAGTTAAGTTAACATGACTTTGCTTAGAGAATATAGTCTAGAAACATGTGAAGTTGCGGTATGTCGCGAAGCGTAAAATAGTGTCGACTCTTTAAGTGATACAATTGTATTAAAATTTCCTCGTATTACTTACTTGGGCAAAACCTTGGTTTTGGCCTCGAGGATCTTGACCCACTTCCTTAGTTTCTGTATCAGGTTCTGCAATTTCATTGCGTTGGGCTGTGTGAAGTCGAAGTCGGCGGTGAACTGCGTCTTCATCTTCTGGAAGACCGGATCTTGGACAGTTGCCTGGGCACGTCGCGCCAAGCTTTCCGATGCGGCTGAAGAGAATGCACAACTTACAATATTTGAAAATTTTCTGTGGACATAAAAAATGAAGTGTTGCTCTATAACAACATTCGCATGCAGCAGATTAACGTTCTAACAAAATATTTCTGCTAATACGCATCTTTAATATACTTGCGACGGAACCGTTAAATAGTATTTTCGGTTTAGAATAAAAGCATTATGCACGAAAACGTCGCAGTTGAGCAGCTTTTAATCGCTAGCAATTTAAAAAAGCAGTTTAAAATAAACTAACGCCCGCAAAGGTATTGAAGCAGTTGTGAAAAAGTGTTACTCTGTGTATGGTACTACTTACAATTTTTTGCAAAAAAAGCTTTTGTTTTTTTAAAATTGAAAATTAAGTGATGATATAAATATGTACTATAAAATTATATTAAAAATAAAATATATAAGAGCAATACTATTTGAGTTAAACAAATAAACTATCATTTGTCGGTATAATTCTTTCACGCGTAAAACATTACGAAAGTACGAACAAGAGAAAATTATTAACACATAAGTATATCAATCTGTCAAATCGTACAAAAAACATTTTAATTTTTGATCTTGTGACTGCCTAAATGCTTGCATAACTTGAAACGCGAAGAAGCAGTGCAGATAAAACGTTGAGATTTAAGCCGATGTGGCAATCAGCCGTTTAGCTTAGTAGTAACAGCGCTTGGCCGCGAAACCGGAAGACGTTAATTCGATTCCAGCAACGGCGGGAAACTTCGTCGTTTTCTCTACAAAAATTAAAAGGAAACTAACAAAAAAAAAGTATGAAATGCTGTAAGGTTTCTAGTACTGTAAGGTTTTTTTTTATTATGCGAAAAGTTGCCAAACGAGCAGACGGGTCACCTGATGTTAAGTGAATACCGCCGCCCATGGACATCTGCTAAACCCGAGGGTTACAGATGCGTTGACAACCTTTTGAAAATTGGGCTCCTGTAAGGTTACTGTAAGGTTGTAATTTGAGAGGCGGGACGAAGAAGGGGGCGAAGATTGGCGCGGGACTCACTAATGCCGATGCCGATGCCGAAGGTGGAGACGACCTTCTTGACGAAGTTGAGCGTGTGCGGCGTGACGGTGGCGTCGGCGACGGCGGCGCGGTGGTGGAACGCCACCACGTGGCACTTGGCCAGCCCCGCGCGTAGCTGACGCAGCACCTCCTCGTACCAGTTCTCGCGGAACCACACCATCTGCGATCACGCAAACATGTTAAGTGACGGCCTGTATTCGCTACACCGCTGGGCCTTTATATCGGTAAGATATGCTATTAGGGTGGTATAATCCGTCGTGTGCTCGCGTTCGCATGCGACACAACATTTTCACTTTTCTATTCATCAGAACGTTGCGAGTTATCATAATTTACTATGAGAATAAACGTACGTTATTGAGGACTGTATTATATATCGCGTCAAAATTAATAGTGGTCTGGGCGGGAAACAGGAAAGTGGGTGGGGGACGCATTAACGCCCGTTTGTCCTTTTTATCCCGATTAGTATAGGTGTCTCTGCTCAAGTAGACGGAGACGAAAAATAGGCAAGTAGAATAAAGTTAACTTTTTCATTAGGAATATGAAAATTTCATATATTGACAATAAGTTTAAATGAAAGATACCGAAGTAGACTAAAAAACGTTTATCTTCAAAATAAGGTACCTTTCATTGATTTTACTCTTATTACGTACCTATGTTATCATCATTCGATGCCTGATCACGGTAACTATGCGACAATATCGCATGGGACAATTAGTTTTTATAAATTATTTTATTTGGTCAAAGCTGCAGTCGCTCACTTCTAAGAAGCTGATTAATTTAGTGTGGCCTTATCTTTAAGTGGTTGTGTGATTTTTAATAATTTTTAATTTTTTCTAATTTAATTTTTAATCTGCCAACACAGCCAATGCAGACGGCCTATACATACGTACGTACGCCTGTCCGTTCCCCATGGCCGATGCGAAAGAGACAGGAGCAACATGTCTTTTAGAAGGTGCCCGTTTCTGACCGGGACTCCCACATATCCTGCCATTCCCCCGAACCGGTGGTAGCGGTACATAGGGAACCATAATATTTTTCCCCAACATAATAATATAAATCCCCAATAAAATAAGACGCCACGTACCTGGTCGACGATGCCCTCGAGCGAGGAGAGCACGGTGGGATGGATCTCGCGCTGCAGCTGCATGATCTTGGAGCAGCGCCACATTGGCAGCGTGGCCTTGATGGGCCCCGCCTCGCCCCCCGCGCCCGCCGCTCCCCCACCGCCGGAGCCCTCCGCCCCGCTGCGCGACCCCTGCGCATACCAATCAGACGCACTCAACCTTTAGGAACAGATACAACTATCCAACTGGTTCCTTGCTAAATTACCCTTCAAAGTAAAAATTAGCATCGGATTGTAGGATTATTTGGACTAAAAGAAAACTTGACAAAAAAGCGGCGCGGACGGCGTCTTTCGTACAACCAATGGCTTTGGTTTGCACGGGCAATACGGGCAGTATAACAATAAATTGATTTTTTTTTAAAGATTTAGGCCGGTTAGATTAATCCGGAAGAAAATTGACATCGCATAGACTGCATCGCTTTTTTTTAAAGTAAAATATACAGCGTGTCGTTACCATCGCGACAATAAATGAACACACGTCTAACGCTACTTCCCAATAATCATAAAAAAATATTAACGTTAAACAAAATCCATAATTAAAAAAAATGTTTTTCAAACAAACTAATTAAGTAAATAAGAAACAAAATTTGTAACATCCTATACAACTCGCGCCACAACGTCGCATTACAAGCCTGTCCTTCTAACAGTATGTTTTGTCTCTTTTAAATTCATTCAACCCATTCATATAATTTGTGACCTTTACAAATGAAATTTACCTTACGGTTTTATACGTAAGGGTGTTCTAAAATTCTTTGTTTTGGAAAATTTTATAACTCTGTAAATATTGATGTTTGAAGAATGTAAATTTTTGATACAATTTTAAAAAGTTATCCTTTACATGTGTGTTCATTTATTGTCGTGTTGACGCGACGCGTTGACTTTGAAGTGAACGCATCGAAAAAATTTTCTGAGCATAAGTGATTTTATTGTAGAAACACTATTTATTAAATATTATTTCCCGTTTATCAAATGTCAGTGCCATATACTGAATAAAAAAAAAATATTCAATCGCATTTGAGCAGTGAGGTAGATTTGATGCGATAACGTGTTGAATTACTTACAGAAGCTACAGCGCCTTGCTGGTGTGGTAAATGAGCGGCTAAATTCTCAGCGCTCTTGTGCCTCTCGCGTTGCTCGATCTTGAGAGTCAAGTATAACGTGCGAATAGGGAAATAGACCGCTTGCGGATACAGCCGCCCAACCTACAACAAATCATTTAAAATATATATTAACCATCAATAATTCAATATAGGTTCATCTCTGATTTAATTTACTATTATTTAAAAAATAATCATGACTGATTATTTTTTTTAAGTACGAAAGTCTAGTTGATTCTTGATTTATATTATCAACCGACTTGAAAATAGGAGGAGGTTCTTACGTCGGTTGCTTTTTTTGTTCCTTATCTCAGAACACCGTCATTTATGAACTGATTTAAAAAAATATTTTGCATTGGGTTCGACTTAGCTACTATGTGGTCCTATATTAATTTCATTCAAGACATCAGAACTACACCAGGCAATTGATCAAAATCAATTAGCAAATGTATAGTGAGTTGAAGTCGGTTTTGAGCATATAAATAGCAATTACAATGAGAAATATGCTAGATTACATAATGCGCGTATGAACGCCTCTCCAAATGAACAAGCCTCTGATAAACAAACAGAATACCGACATGACTCAGTAGGTTCAGTATGACGTTCCCATCGTACTGCACGATGCAGGCGAGCAGCTGCGGTATCCATGGCAACCACTGCACGGGCGGCACGCCCACCGAGTACTTGTCCAGCGCCTCGGCGAGGCTGTTCTTGTCGTCGTCGAAGCTCAACATCCAGAGAACCTAGACGCGTGAGAATATTTAAATCAGACCCCCGTTCTTTTGAATAAAGTATTAAAAGATTCATAAATAGGCTAACTTTTTTGAGAATTAGTATAAGCGGTGCGCTAATGGAGTTAATACAATATCTTCTTATCCTTTAAACGAGCAATTCTTGTATATATATATAATCGGAATCTCGGAAACGGCTCCAGCGATTTTCATGAAATTTACTATGTGCGTCGATTCGGGGGCGAAAAATCGATCTAGCTAGGTTTCATTTTTAGAAAATGTCCTTTTATCCCTATTTTCAGGGAATGAAAAATATCATTCGAATACGACGGTAAATTTCGCCGCAAAAAAAAAATTTTATAATAACTCGTTCGGTAATCGGGCGGCCCCAAAACAGACGGCCGCGGTTCGTATCATGATCATTTACACACTTATTTTTTTACTTTTTTTTCTATTCCAGATCATTGCTTTCTTTATTTTTTACTTTTTGTCGATTTATTATTTTGTTATTTTTTTTCCCTTTTTTTTTAAAGTTCTTTCTTTTGTGAAAAACACCAGTTCATATTTTCTTATTATTACGTCGGTAAGATCGATAAATATTATGCATACTTCATTACTCAGGAATTTGTATTTAAATGTAGTTTCCAAAATACTTGATTTACCAAAAAAAATAACGATCCTCCAGGTACTTTACTGTATATTAGGTATATGAAAAGAGAAAAATATTAGAAAGTTCCGCCACACAATAAACACCGCAAAGCTATTTAATAAGATAATGAAAAGCTACATCATCATTTCAGCCGTTAGAGTCCGCTGCTGAACATAGAGCCATATAAAATATAGCATATATGTGCAGTAAGAGGCTGCCAATCGAGAACTTTTTGTTCCCCTTCGGTTATCCAAGCTATCGCTCGGATACGGCTCGCCCATCGTTGCTTCAGCTTACTAATCTTTTGAACTATATCGGTCTTGTTTGCTCTACTGATCTCTTCGTTGCCAACTATATAACGCAAAGAAATATCGAGCAAAGCAGTGACGGACCGCGACTCGGTGCACCACAGGTGAGCTTCAAACATAGATGATGTTGTAAACTAAATAGTAATAAAACGCTCGCCTTGGCGCAGTATTTCCTAGATTTGGACTCGTTCTGGTGGCGGCAGGCGTGCAAGAAGCACGTCATCGCCGACACGCCCACGGTGACCTGGCGCGGGTCCCTGATGAATATCTGCTCCAGGTAGTCGCCCCAGAGCGCCCACGCCTTCACCAGCGTGTCGTGCAACTGCACCGCAGCGGCGAACGCCTTATTCGCATCCTCGGAACGTCCCAACTGCGCCAGAAGGAGCCCCTTGAACGCGTAAAACTCGGCCGTCATCTCTTTCGTGAAGTATTTGAAGTTTGTCGATTCGATCATTTCCAGGCCCTCGGTCAACTCGTCTTTCCCCTCCGTCCATGACATTTGGATGTGACATTTCACTTGCTGACGTATCTTTTGGAAGCAGTCCACTATTGGCACACTCGGTATGGTGTAAATGCGGTGCAATGAATCCAAGCACACACCGGACAGGTTGTGTTTCCTCGCGATTTTAGCGAAGTGTATTATAGCCTGAAAAAGTAGTAAAACATAACGGTTATTATCGAAATTTACACTATTGGTAACTTAACTAAAAAATTGGTTTTAATACATTGTCAATGCCCCTTGAATACTTGAATCAGTATTTTATTATATTTCAATACATAAATTCGTTGAATACATCTCACCGCGATCGTCACCCACTGTTAAAAGTCAAGACTCGTTAAGTATAATATGTATGACTCTAATATTTACTATAAAGGAACTTTAGAAGTAATATGACCACTCTATTGATGCAATGGATAGCGATTCTGTATATTGCGCCAGAGCGTGTGGGTTCGATCCTCACTATTAAAAAAATAATATTTAACTAATGTCTGTTTGGCACAATAATAACATGGGACAATATGTATTTATTAACAAAAGAAAAGTCTGTTTAAGTAAGTTTAGTTTAACTAAGTAAGTTCGGTTACCTAGTAGCCATGGTTGAAGCATAATTTGGGACTAAATTATTCACCTGTGCGCTGGCGTGCACGCCCAGCATGCTGTGGTTGGAGGCGTGGTCGGTCTGCGAGTCGTAGTGCGACGCGATGAACTGGTAGTGGTGCTGGCGCCACGTGAAGATGGCGCCCCAGTGGGAGAGCGGGTCCGCCACCACTGGCAGCCGGTTGCGCCACGTCTTCACGATCGCCTTCATGTCGTGCAGCGACGTGGGCCGGCTGTGCAGGAGACCCTGCCAAGCTCGAGGGTTCAGTACAAATCATATTCAAACTAGATTTGGTCTACGCTTATTTCTCTATGCGCGGGAACGATGTACACCCCGTACACCTGGAAGTATCTTTCACTTTGCTCGCCTTTGTACGTTATTTGTTTTTTTGGTAAATTCGTTTTCTCTTAAACTCTGTGTAAAATAAAGAATAAAAAACACTTTTTTTAATTTAATTTTGTTTCTGTAACACCTATTTTTATTTTATTATTGTAATTTGCAGATGTGTTTTGATTACAAATAAAGATTATTATTATTATTAATAGATTATTATTATTATATCAATGTTTCACTTTAATCACAGCGGTTTTTTTAATCTTTGATATCGTTTTAATAAAGTGTACTACTTTTTTTTTTTCATAATGATAACAGACATAGATTTTTTTTCAAGATGTAGTTTATGTCCAGTCCGTAGTGGCTGATGTAATTGCCGTAAATCCCAGCGGCGTGTATCAGTGCACGCGACAAGCTTTCCCTTTCCCGCGCACAGCGGGTGACATAAACAATGAAATTATCAAGATAATTATGTCTTTTGATAATTATTGTGATAACTATCGAGATAATTATCAAATAATTATCAACCAGATGTAAACTTAGTACTGGTTTTTGAATATTCAATCATAATAATTTAAGAAAAATACAAATAAATTAGAAAAACCACATAGACAGAATATTAATGGAATTAATGAGTGTATTTCGTTCTCATCCTCCTCAACTGCATTAACAAGTTTCGAATTGTCCGTCTGAAGAATCCGAGTTCAAAATCTGACTTAACTCAGTGTGTCTTGGTTTGTTCGTAGAGGTCGTTAAAAATTTATGTCAATGTAGCCACATTTTCCGTTCGATTTGTAAGTTTTGATTGCTCCAGTGCAAATGACGAAATCATCGTTCCAGTTCAGCTGTACGCGCAATAAGCTGCTCAAAAATCCGAGTAAGCAACTAGCCCTAAGTCCTTAAATAAACATCTTTATTTAAAAACTACGTGCAGTACTGAGGGACACCGGTGCGTTCCGTAAGTGATCCGGGTCCCACATAAACCTGTCATGTGAAAAATGACGGGGTATCTTTTGAACATTTCCCCCCCGATACCATCCTAGAAGATCTAATGTAGTGTTTTATTTGAAAACATAGCGCCTTACTGTAGGATTACATTAGCGTGCTTTGTAAGGACTTACAGAAATTTCATGTGGACAAACATCCAGATCGGAAACAATTATCTGTATTAATTGTCACACAAGTAGTTGTCTCGTTTGAGAATTGATCACAAGACCCCGGCGCCGAAGCCAAAACCTTCGTAACTACGTCACGTGTAATCTGAAAAAAAAGTAGTCCATGCCATGACACACGTCATGCATGCGCGTGGACTCCATACGGCATGAATTTATTTTTCTCCAGAAGATATGTTGGTGTTATTATTTTAACATAGGCTTTAACTCAGTGTGTCTTGGTTTGTTCGTAGAGGTCGTTAAAAATTTATGTCAATGTAGCCACATTTTCCGTTCGATTTGTAAGTTTTGATTGCTCCAGTGCAAATGACGAAATCATCGTTCCAGTTCAGCTGTACGCGCAATAAGCTGCTCAAAAAATCCGAGTAAGCAACTAGCCCTAAGTCCTTAAATAAACATCTTTATTTAAAAACTACGTGCAGTACTGAGGGACACCGGTGCGTTCCGTAAGTGATCCGGGGAGAAGGGGTTTTATGCCCGGTTACGAAGTTATGTAACTAACGGCCGTTCCTTGAATATAGGGACCGGGCTTTAGTGGGTACGAACCCCACATAAACCTGTCATGTGAAAAATGACGGGGTATCTTTTGAACATTTCCCCCCCGATACCATCCTAGAAGATCTAATGTAGTGTTTTATTTGAAAACATAGCGCCTTACTGTAGGATTACATTAGCGTGCTTTGTAAGGACTTACAGAAATTTCATGTGGACAAACATCCAGATCGGAAACAATTATCTGTATTAATTGTCACACAAGTAGTTGTCTCGTTTGAGAATTGATCACAAGACCCCGGCGCCGAAGCCAAAACCTTCGTAACTACGTCACCGTGTAATCTGACAAAAAAGTAGTCCATGCCATGACACACGTCATGCATGCGCGTGGACTCCATACGGCATGAATTTATTTTTCTCCAGAAGATATGTTGGTGTTATTATTTTAACATAGGCTTTAACTCAGTGTGTCTTGGTTTGTTCGTAGAGGTCGTTAAAAATTTATGTCAATGTAGCCACATTTTCCGTTCGATTTGTAAGTTTTGATTGCTCCAGTGCAAATGACGAAATCGTCATTCCAGTTCAGCTGTACGCGCAATAAGCTGCTCAAAAAACCGAGTAAGTAACTAGCCCTAAGTCCTTAAATAAACATCTTTATTTAAAAACTATTTATATATTTTTATAGAATTTTTTCCAATTAAAAAATAGACATAGGCTATTCTTTCTCAGGCTCTAGACTATTTATGTATACCAAAATTCATTTAAATCGGTTCAGTAGTTTTGGCGTGAAAGCGAGACAGACAGACAGAGTTACTTTCACATTTATAATATTAGTATGGAAGTACAGATTGTACTGACGGTGTGTATCTGCGCGGCCTCGCTGAGCTCCATGAGCTGCTGCGCGGCCCTGAGCAGCGGCAGGTGGGCGTGCGAGACTATGCGCGGCAGCCGGCGCCACTCGCGCAGGCACTGCGCCGCCGCCGCCTCCGCGTGCCGCTCCACGCCGCCCAGCTGCTGCTCGCCGCCCGCGCAGATGCACAGGTAGCCGCGGTACAGGTTCACCAGCCACGCTGCACGCGACCGACGGTTGGGTTAAAGTGGTAAGCTCACGCCAAGTTCTCTAGTTTCGAACTAAGCGGCGCTTGTACTATGGGTACTAGAAAACTGATATAAATAATTTCATTATTGATTAATTATATAATTTCTTGATTGATATAATTTCATATTGTATTAATTGTCACACAAGTAGTTGTCTCGTTTGAGAATTGATCACACGACCCCGGCGCCGAAGCCAAAACCTTCGTAACTGCGTCACCGAGTAATCTGACAAAAAGTAGTCCATACCATGACACACGCCATGCATGCGCGTAGACTCCATACGGCATGAATTTATTTTTCTCTAGAAGATATATTGGTGTTATTCTTTTAATAGGCTTTAACATTTGATATTTGTTTAAATTTTTTTAATATATATCCTTTTTGAAAGAGTGAATAGGTTTCTACTGACCTTTCACTCTTTCAAAAAGGATATATATATAGGTTTCTACTGACCAAACTTTACCTAATTCCTTCGGACAGTTGTATTCCACTTCAGCTAGCGCATCTTTCATAGTCGGCCAGTTTGGATTCCTCCACGAACTCTCCAACACCAAAAATGGGTCTCGGCCACCTCTAGTCAGCCCTAAATCTAGTAGAGAGTCCCACTGATTTAGTTCTTTGGCGCACTTGAGCCAATGTTGACTCCACAGAATACATTCCTTATGCATATTGTATGCTGAAGGGTTAGCTGTATATTCTTGTTTGAGTTTTGACATAGCCACATCGTAAGCGGCCTGTAAGACAATATTTTTATCATTAATTTTCACACAATAGATGTAAACACATTATGCAAATACAGATATATGAAAATACGCCTCACCTGAGCTTGTTCAAAGAAACCTTGCTGTTCATAAGCGATTGCCACGTTCGTTTCTCGGAACTTGGCATGTTTCTGCCACAAACCTGACCACATGTCCTCTTCTTGCAACAGTTCATACATATCGCTCAACGAATCCAGCACTTCCTACAATGGAGTAGGAAGAAAATAAAGTTAGGTTTTATAACAGCACTTACAAGATATCAATTTTTTTTTTCAAAAATCATACAAACCGTAGGTGTGGTGGATTCAATCTCGTAATCGTAGATTTCCATTTGCTCGCGTTGTCCTCGAGCACTTGTTTGATCTATTGCCATCTGTTCTAGATTCAAAGTCATACGATGCCATAGGTTATGGGTCTTGCCGAGATATTTCATCATTGGTCTACGATATAAAGAGATTGTAATTAGAAATTTTCAACATCAACTTTTAACGAAAATTATTATATATGATTATAAAAAAAAATAACGATGTATAATACTGACGGTCTTATAGTTATCGGCGGGTTGCATCTTGACAACGCCTCTATGAATGTGTTCAGGGCGCTAAGTGGTTGATCGCGTTGTATAACATGCACACCGGATATAATGAAGGGTACAATTTCGTTCATCACAGTCTGCAAAGAATAAAATTTATTTAATAAATTAATACTATCACAAGCAATCAGTGAGGTGACGAAGTGTACGCGTCAAGATTAAGGTGTGTGGTGTAATCCTTTTTGATGGTAGCTGTTGATCTCAGCTTATACGCCGTACAATACCAAAACTAAATTTCACTTTTTAGAGTAGCCGTAGTGGCATTTTATTCGCCAATCCTAAATAAAAGTTATTTATTAAGCTCAAATCAAACATTTAACCGGAATTTACAAAAACTAAACGATATTATTAAATTATTCTAACAATTAGCAAAATACAACAATAACAACTCGTTTTTCAACTGATGTATCAAATTAATTTCGTCTTTTAGGGACATAGCATTGCTTGCGACATTGCGTTTACAATAGTGACCGTTGCTAAGCGATCCTCTAATTGGCGGCCGCGAAGAGCATTAAGGCCCTCGTGGTGAGGGCGCGACGGCTCACCCCCAGCTGGCGCTCGTCGAAGGAGGCCCACAGCTTGGGCATGAGCCGCAGCCAGGTGTGGTGCGCCAGCGCGTCCTCCATGTGGCAGAGCTGCGCCGCCGCCAGCACCAGCTGCTCGGTGCGCACGCGCCGCGCCAGCTCCAGGAACTCCGACTGCTTCGCGACGATCTGGTTCAGCGCCCGCTGCCTGTAATGCGCACCCAGCCGTACGTATAAAACGGTTGATTCGTAACGGTCCACTGCAACGCCGCCGAGAATAAAAATAGCGGCAAAAAATATACTCAAGCATATTAGATACAAAAAGAATCCTTATAATATAATCCATATAAATCCTTTTGTAACAGAATGACGCAGCACAAGAGTCAGAGCTCAACAATAATTTAGCTTATATCTTACAATATTATATTTGATTATCATCAGTATTTTCAATAAGACGTGAGGTGCAATGAACTTTCCTTTAAATTGATGAAATGCAAAATATTTTCATCCGTATGACTAACCTATTTGGTACGTTTTTCGTCAAGTCGTCCTTCTGGTTCGAGCTCGAATCCAAGTCCATATCGAGAACGTCCTCTTTATCCGGGTCGATCGTATCGCTGAATCCATCGGCGGATTCCTCTTTTACGTTTGCAAATATAACGAAGGACTTGCGATCTTCGCTATCCGCCCAGTTTATGACAGCGGAAATATTAGGCAGGTAATATTTAGAGTTGGACAATCGAATCTGCGTACCTGTAAAAGCGCAATAGCAGTTACGAGTACAATAGAGAATTGGAAATGTTTTCATCTTGTTAAAATACAGCGTGTCGTTACCATCGCGACAATAAATGAACACAAGTCTAACGCTACTTGCCAATAATCATAAAAAAATATTAACCTTAAACAAAATCCATAATTAAAAAAAAACATTTTTCAAACAAACTAATTAAGTAAAAAAGAAACAAAATTTGTAACATCCTATACAACTCGCGCCACAGCGTCGCATTACAATCCTCTCCTTCTCACAGTATATTTTGTCTCTTTTAAATTCATTCAACCCATTCATATGCTTTGTGACCTTTAGAAATGAACTTTACGTTACAGTTTTATACGTACGGGTGATCTAAAATTCTTTATTTTGGAAAATTTGATAACTCGGTAAATATTGATGTTTAAAGAATGTAAATCTTTAATACAATTTAAAAAAGTTATCCTCTATATGTGTGTTTATTTATTGTCGCCATTGCAAAGACACGCAGTATATACGGTATCTTACTGGTCACGCATGTCACAAGCAACAGCTCAAGGCACTGCTTGATCCAGTAGTGCTGGCCGATGTGCTCCCAGTTCTGCGAGCAGATGATGTACAGGAATCGGTCGAAGATGCGCCTGCGCACGCTCTGGTCGTACACCTCGAAGAACTTGGCGCGGATGTTGGGCTGAGGGCAACGCAGCCCCGCCAGGAACGCCGGCTCCAGCTTCATCGACAGTTCCGTCATTTTTAAATTCTCGTCCCTGAAAAGACAAAATAGTCAATATGTAAAAAAAACAGTATACAAAACGCCGCACAACGTATGTCACACAATTTTATTATTATCCAAATAAGTATTGCGAAATCACGCAAAATAAACAAAAACATGGGTTTACAATGAAACAATCAGAAATTTTTTAGATTTAGTTCTTAAATCATTTTGTAACATAATTAATACATATTTTTAGTGTAACTAAATAATTTATTTACTTGTTTTATCGTCTGGTTGGGTTTAAAAATAAAAATAAATATATATTGTATAATTATAATATATGCATAAAATTATTGTTTTTATTATTTCAGGTATGGGATTATTATGAATGGTATGAAATTAGAATCATCCTTGCATAACTTCTTATTTTATCGTTTTTCCTTTACCTATAGACGTAGTTTATGACATCCAAGAAGTGTGCATTCAGGTCCAAGTCGTCGGGGAAGCGCTTCTCGACGTACTGCATGAGCTTCACGAGCAAAATGGACTTTTCACGCAAAGACGGCGCACCGCCAGCCACGGGGGACCCCCGCCACTTCACCCACTCCTCGACCATTCGGATGATAGCTTTCATTACCTATTTCGAAGGTATAAATATTTAGTGCTGCGTAGGATTGCTTTTTATTAATTTATATTATTTGTCCACCGATTTTAAAATGCTTTTAATTAAAATAATATTGATGATAATCACGTTATGACTGAACATACCTTAGCATCTGTAGTCTTTTCGATGAGCCCGACAAGTACAGTTCCGATGAAAGTTTTCCTTGTTTCGACTGGCATTACTGACACTCTGGCTTTTAAAAGGTCTAGCGCTAATATCTGAAAATAAAATAAAAATTTTGTTCTCAAGCAAATTAGATTAAAAAAAGATTTTTTTTATTAATTTTGAATGACTTTTATATATTTATTTAATAAATGATTTGTGTACACAGTGTATACAAATTTTGTACAAAGCTGCTTATTTTTTAAGAAACATCTTTACTTCTTCGTTACTTTTTTCTTATTAAAAAAAATACTGTACAAGTTATATTTACGCTTGTCCGGGTTCCTATGTGTATGTAAAACACACGCAGGAATCCGGAGCGACTGCTTGATAAGGCATAAAGACGTTTCCGGGGCGGAATAACGAATGCAGCGCAAATAGGCGAAACGTTTGTGCGGGGGTGGGGGAGCGGAGGTGTGCGGGCGTGTACTGACGAGCAGGTCGGAGGTGGCGGCGTCCGGGTTGGGCGCGACGTGGTCGCGCAGCATGCGCTGCAGCACGCGCATGAGCGGCAGCAGCAGCCGGTCCACGTAGCCGGCGCTGGAGGCGCAGCACGCCTTGAGCATCATGAGCGGGCCGAGCAGCGCGCCCGCGCCCCCGCCCGCCGCCGACTTCTCGTACGCCGCCAGCCCCTCGAACGCGAACTTGCTCACGCACGCGTACAGGCTCTCCAGCTCCTCGTACTGGATGCGGTTAAACGTTGCCGTACAGACACACGATCGTTGAATTTCCAATTTCCTCCATCGTTGCGCCTATGCAGTATTTAGTTCTTTCCCAATGTCATTAATGGGATTAAGTGTTAAAGAAAAAATATGACAAAATAAAAATGGTGAAATATAGAAAATAACTTGGGCGACAATAATTTTGTTTAATTCGATTCAATGCGGTACTTTGAACTGAGTATGCAATAACCACAAGAGCGGATCTTTGCCATTCAATTGTATGGCAAAGATTAGCAATAAATTGAAAAGTTTATATAGCGTTATCATTTATAGTATCGAAAATTAAAATTATTGCATTGGGGAAACAAATGAAAGGGGCTTTTATGACGTTGCTGCACGAACAATTACATTCGTCCAAGAGTTAATTCTGAACAGCTGTTTTACAAATATACGGTTGTTTACATGACTGAAATTCTGTTTTACAACGTCTGATTTAGGCGTTTAGGTAGTAAGTTACTAATTTTGTTATACTTTAAGACAGATAACACAATAAATTTCTCAATGCAGAACTTACTCATAATTTTAAATTAAATATTAGTAATTTATTTTTCAGTGCTGACAATGTCTAAGACTGAACTTAGCAAGCGAATTCAATTAATGGTAGTCGAGCGGTAATCGAAGTGATCGAGTGTGGCCATTGGCGAATGGTTGTACAAGTGGGGGGGTCACCTTGGAGGCCTGCGCGGCGCCCGAGGGCTCGGTGGGGAAGAGCGCGGTGAGCTTGGCGAGCAGGTTGTGCGTGAGCCGCACCACCTTCGCGTTGCTGGAGGCCACGCAGATGGCGAGGCCTCGCTGCAGCGGCTTCAGCGCCGCCAAGCACTGCTCGCGACGCAGCACGCCCAGCAGGAACGCAAGCAGCTCGAGGGCGGTGCACGCGTTCGCGCACGCCGCCGCGTTCGTGTCCGCCGTCGCGAACACCTGTTCCATAATAAATGCTTTTTTTATATTCACTGTTTTTTTTTTAAGTTGTTTCCTTCTTTAGGCGCGTTATGAAAAAATGATGAGTGAAATTTTAAGGTGCGCGCGCATCACTGTAACACAAAAGTCAGACAAGTCATGATACCAAAAATTATAACTTCTCAAGCGCGTACATAAGAACACGCACCCATTTATTTGTCTCTGTTTTATTTGCTTGACCCACACACTATCATCGGATCTCATGCTAAACAGTGCTTTCAAGTGGTAAACGCACTATCTAAGTAAACCCACATTTGGTATTTCCTTGAAAACATTCACATTCACACTACTAAAATATTACATTCCATTCCTATATGTATGATGGAGATGCGACTCTTCTCTTCTAAGTTCAAAAACACACCTCTCCTGCATAAAGCAGCGGAACATCAGAGACCCTAAATTTCATTTTGAAGCACAATTAAAAATATGAGAGCTAAGTTGAAAAATATGTGAGCTAAGACGACTGTCTTGGGCTTGTAAAATGAGAGTTTAGATTTTATATTTAAATAAATTGGTCTCTAGTCGTATTTCCTCCATATATCTATTTTTAAATGTACCTTGTCGAGCCACGCAAGCTTGGGCTCGCAGAGGTGCGGCCAGATTTCCGGCTTGAGGGCAGTCTTCAGCAGCATCACGCAACGGCGGGAGAGCTGCTCGCCGGGCGAGCCCACGGCCGCGTTGCTCGCCGCTCCAATCGCCACGCTGTTGCTCGCGCTGGTGCCTTCGTTCACCTACGGCGAACACACAGAAGCCATTAAAAATAAAAAAAAAACAACATTCATGACACTAAGTAGAACTTTGAGTTTCTGGAGCATTGAGACTTGAGAATGGTCAAAGGCAAACAAATTGAACCATCACCTAGCCTTGTGAATCGATGTGCTAAGGTCACACAATAGCCTCAAATGGGATCAAGAGCGTCCAACCGACATTACTTTTTTATGTGAAGGGTTGTCAATCGAGCCTTGACTTCTTTAGAAAAAGACCTGAAATTAAGTGCCTCCACCCATGGACATCTACAACACCCGATGGTTTGCAGATGCGTTGACAACCTTTAAAAAAGTGGGCCCTGGTTTCCACACTCATCACTTGATGAACTACTGCCACTTCACGCCGGTATTCTGTGAGGTTCTTCATTCGAGATCACAGCTAAGCACCAACCGAGCGACTAGTCGGCGGTTACCTGGCAGGCGAGGCGCAGCAGCATGTTGACGATGATGTCGACTTGGGGCCGTTCGAGCGGCTTGGCCACGTCGGGCTCGAGGCGGGCCACGCTGGCCTGCGGGCTCGCCCAACCCGTGTTCAGCGCCTTGCGCGCCTCGCCGCCACTCTCGTCCGCCGACGCGCGCTTCATCGCGCCGCTCGGCGACGTCGCCACCTGCGCCAAGCACTTTTGAGCACCACTCCCAAGTCGTATATGGAGTGGGGTTTCGTGACGATATAAAACAGACTGGTTTTATATCATCTTAGGACGTGCGGAGAAAATTTTGTTTTCCCTTGCTCACTGAATTTCAAGAAAATTACAACAAATTATTACAAACACTTATAGTCAACATTTCTTTATTCACTATAGGCTTGTTTTAAGCTCTCACTGAACGTCGAAAAACTACCATAAACTATTAAGAGAAGAATCGGCAAGAAACTCTGCGGTCTGGTTATATTTTTGAACGGTATAAGGATACAAAATTATTTAGGTATAAAATCATTTGCAAGTGTAGAGCAAGAGTAATTTCCAACCAACCTTGTCCTCAATGTATTATATACACTAACATTATAACAGCCTATTTCCATTAATATACTTTTTACAAAATGTTTTCAAAAATGTTGTAAAAAGTATTAGTTATTGTTTGTTTACACTTAGTAGTTTGTTGATGTCACCTATTTTATTATATAAAATAATTAATACATCTAACAAGAGACATATCTTGTAACGAAACATTTTAATGAATTAGCACCTAAGCCTGTATCATGGATCCGTCTATTGTTGGAAAATACGTTCAGTACTTTTTGAGGTTATCGCATTCCAACAGACAGACGCGAATGGGGATTTGTTATATACCAAATGCAGATGTAAGCAATCCGAATGTGTCAACTCTTACGACGGTGGTGTCATCCTGCGCGTGGTCGCGTACTCGCTGCAGCTCCCACTTGAGGGCCACCTCGGCGAGGTCGACGGAGAGCCGCCGGTGTTCCAGAGTGGACGTGATCGAGAAGGCCAGCCGCTGCATCGCCGTCACCATGTGCGCCACCAGCGCATGCCGCACCGGGTAGTACACCTGCGTACAATTACAACAGCGTAATTATAAAGCTAAAATTATGTGCCGGCCATATAGATCGAAGAACCGATAACCGAGGGGGAAGAAAGGTTATCGAGTGGCGGCCTCGCATCGGTCATCGTAGAGTAGGACTACTCCCACTAGATGGAGTGACGTCCTGTACAAGTGTGAGAAAAGTCGATGGAAGCGAGTCGCTCAGGACTGTGCTTCGTAGCGGTTTGTCGGTGACGATGTTGATGATGAATCATCAAGCTCACCACAGGTCTATTCGATCAAGCCTTTATTGTTAAACGATTGCCCTCACCTTGTAATGCCTGACGACGAGCTGCAGTATGTGGAAGAGCTGCTGCATCGAGTGGCCGTCCTCGACGATGATCTTCTTGGTCCAGTGCGTGAGCATCGTGTTGCCGTCCTCCATCCGCTGCGGCATGGCGGGCGTGAGTATCTCCAGCGCCTGGCGCACCACCGCGCGCGCCTCCACCGCGTGCGCCTTCAGCAGGCTGTGGAACACTGGAACGCAAACGCACAAAGCAAATCAATCTCAGTATCGCTATTTTAGTAGTGTACAGACATCAGCATATAATTTTTAATAAATTTAATTTAACCGAGTAATTTTGATGGAAATTGAAATACTTTTTTTACCTTGCAGGACAATCCGTTTGTGGATCGCAAATTTTGCGATGATATGACTCAGCAATAGGTGTCCGTGATACCTGTTGAAATATTTATGAAATGAAATATCTATATTTGTTTATTATTTATGGTATATATGGCAAAGTTTGCGAATATGATTTAAAAAAATGTCGCGTAAATGCATAAAAATGTTAAATGATAACCGCTGCACATTGACATTTGCAACACCTGAAGAGTTGCAGATGCGTTGCCACCTTATAAAAAAGAAGAACCCGGGTGCCTCACTCACCAGATTAAACGCAGAATTATTATATATATTTCTATCGCACTCCCACTTCACACCGGTCTTCTGTGAGGTCGTGGTACATCGTGGTAGTTACGAACGGACCTGCCCTTTCGTGCAACCTACCACAGTTGAGAGGTTTCACCGTATTAACACTACTGTATTTTTTTAACTTAATTAGCAACAAAGAGATGGAGTTGGCGCGGCGCGTTATAGGGGAGCGGCGGGCGCACCTCGTGGCGGGGTCCACGTAGTTCTTGCCGAGCAGGCAGGGCCAGGCGAAGGTCATGAGCCGGCGCAGCTTGTTGCCCTGCTTCTTGTTGTTCGCGTCGTGGATGTGCGCGGACGCCTGCTCCAGCAGCAGACACGCGAACTGCAGCAGCGAGATGCGCACCGCGTCCGAGCACGCGAACGGGTTCTCCGGATCTATCACCTGCACAACACGCGGACCTTCGAGGACTCGGATCTTGTGTTTTACTTCGTGAAAGTAGGTCCCGACGACCACTGCGGAATGCATGCTGCGTTGCGGGGACGTTTTACGTACACAAATTTCACTTGGACATACACCCGGATCCGAAACATCATATCTGTGAGATCGACCATGACCCTCGCGCTGAAGCCAATACCTTGGCAACTCCGCTACGAAGTTGTTCGACTCGGTTTCATCATTGTTAGTTATATACATCACCTTTTTATGATATTAAGTGATTACCCCCGCTCATGTACATCTACAATCACCCCATGTAATGTCAACATTACAAATGTAGGCCCCGGGTACCTCACTCACCGGACGAAACGCAAAAGTATAATATATACTTCCACTTCACACCGGTCTTGTGAGGTTGTGGAGCCTCCAGGAAGCTGTCGAGCACGCTCACTCGTTCACTCAACAGCAGAAGCCACTGCGTTGCCCACTAAGCTTACGAGTTTCAGACATTATTGGTTGTAAATATTAAGTTTACATTTGTGATACTTTTTATTACTATTGAGAAACTAGCCAGTCATTAAATTTACTATTAAATATCCTACAATTATTTAATGCACAGAAAAGTATTAAAAAGATATATAGACTAACGTTATTGATAAAAACGGAGACGACATTATCGGGGTTATCCTGATAGGGTGCCGGCGGGCCGCCAACAATCTTCTGGCCCTTCTCGAAGCTGACGGCGAAGCATGGTATCAAAATCATCTGCAGCACTTTGGCCTTGAGATCCTGCGACATGGCATCACTCGAGAAGTGCTCCACAAAACGGAAGAATGCCGAGCGTTTCCATTCCACGGTGTAGTTTTGCGCAACCGTATTTTCCAAGAAGTCTCTGAGGAACTGAGAGCAAAATTTATATTAGTGATCGTTTTTAATTATAATATAAGTACGTTGTGTATATTAAGTACAGTAAATAAGAACGACAGGGATTATTAATGAAAAAGCCGACCTGGAAATCCGGTATGAATCGGTCGCACAGCGCTCGCAGCAGTTGAAACAACAAATCAATATTTGACGGATGGTGGCAGAAATAGTGCAGCAGTATTTTCACAATCAATTTAGGCTCCTTCCAATGTGTACAATCGACGTTCTCCACTTTTTTGTGACTTTCCTGAAACTCGAGATGTTATTTTGATTATTTGCATTTTGCGAAAAATTTGCTGGTATTATAAATATTTTTTGTCCTTAAACAATAAATTAATTGATCAGTTAAAAAATATACGACTAAATCAAATTACACGACTGAAAAAAAACGTATAGCGGAAGCGAGATAGAAAACGATCTTAGAATGCGGCGCGAAGGAGAGGACAATAAGCTACATCCGCCTAATTTGAAACCCCTTTTCTGCTTATAAGGCATAGTAGATAATAAACTTGAAAGAGTTTAGAAGACCTACACACTAGAATCGAACAATTGATTTGTACTGACATGATACTGATCACTGCACCAGATGCGCTTTAGCAACTCTATGAGGTCATGCTGAGTGGACAGCCACTGGTCATCGTATTTGATGAGCAGCGAGATGACCCTAATGGCTTGGAACTGCATCTCGATCCTGTCGGGCTGCGGCAGGGCGGCGGTGGCGCCCCCGCTGTTGGCCGCCAACAGCTGCATCAGGCGGTTCTTCTTCGACGTCTGCAGCGCTTCGCGGAACGCCGGGCCGGCCTCAGGATGCTTCACCAGGAACACCAGGAACCGACTCCACTGCTGGTCCTTGATGTTGTTGTCGCTCATTATGTGGTCCAAGGTTTCCTTGGGGTATCTGTAACGGGATAAAAAAATACCCGCTGATAAGGATTTACACTGATGTTGCATAACTTTTTATTCACTTCCGTAGCGACAGTAAACCAATCAACATTCTTTGGTCAAACATCGTTTATTACTCACCTTAGAAGAAATTTCACCAAAGGCTCCCGGAACGGCGAGCCAGCTTCGATTAAGAGCGATTTTTCCGTGTGCAATATTAGCCGACACAGCACGTCGATAAAACGCGGAGACGCGGCTGGGATTTGATGGAATATTCCGATGAGGATTATTATCTTCTGCTCATTTTCCATGTTCTTCGAAACACTTTGGAGGAAGTTGCCACCTGGCAAAAAGATTAATTACAATTAATTTCCAATTTTCATTTCACAATCTGTCGAAAATAACCCAGAAATTCATAACGTTTCATACGTGGTGTTCAGTAATAGCCACGACGGAAATACTTTTTAATATACTTGTTATTATACTAAGTTAATAATTTTGTTGTTAATATTACCTCTGTTTGTCTGTATTGAGTAATCCAAAAGTTTCTTGAGTAACTGCAGCAATTGCTCGCAAAGTTTCTCGCTGAAGGTAGAGGGGAATAGCTGTGTAAGATACGAGAGCCTCTTAGCTCCATTCACACTCAAGTTGCGGTGGTCACCCAGGGTCAAAAGCAGTGGCCTCATTACCGGATGGACCATTTCCATGTCGATTTGGAAGCCTGACAGGAACTTCTGCATACATTCGAATCCGGCCTGTGAAAAATTACAAAAAATTAAAGGCTGAAATTTAAATTATGATAATGTTGAAATAAAAAAAAAATAACTATACAGCCACTTTAAATAGGCAATCATCAAATTTTGTCAACCCAGACATTTGAATAATTTTTTTTATAATAATTAAAAAAATAATTTTAATGTTTAATAATTTAATTTTATAAGATTAATTGATTATACAATTGCAAATATCGCAACATTCCTGACATTGTAATAATATATTCATAAACGCATTATTTTAAGTAGAAAGACATAAATAGCGTCAATCAGAACTAACCTGCTGCAACTCCTGGTCACTCTTCTCGAGCGACTTGTAGAGCACCTGGAATATCTTCTCGCGGCAGTGCTTCTCCTGGATGTAGTGGCAGGCGGCCAGCGCGCGCAGGGCCGACGCGCGCAGCGGGACCAGGTTCACGCCCTTGTAGCAGGGCAGCTTGCCCAGCATCGCGTCCTCCGCTTCGCACAGCGACAGCAGCTCGCGGAAGAACACCTTGTGCTCGTTTATGTTCAGATCTGGAAGGCCAGGGTCCGAGTGAATGTCACTTCAGTCATCTGCGCCCCACTCCTAGAGTCATTGGCTTTACCACCGGGAGTCGTGAGTTCGATTCGCAGTGACATCTATTTGTGGGACGCACAGATTATTGTTTCCGATCTAGGTGTTTGTCCACGTGAAATTTATATATGGTAAACGTCCTTGTTAAACAGGATAATGTTGTCCTACGGTAAGAGGAAATGTTTACCAAGTTAAGACTGCAAAAGGTTTTCTAGGTCGCAGTGGTCGTTGGTACTTAATGTCCAAACCCTTCTACAGAAAAAACAAGGTCCAAGTTAAATCTCTTCATCCATTTTTGCCCCACTCCTAGAATGTATTCGCGACCGCGACGAATTATTTTCAACAATACATATATTGCTGTTTCAACTCTTTTCGAGATCATCAAAATAAACTAATTAACTTTACTTAAATATTGTTAGACGTTGTTAATACAATTCGCTCTGTTAAAATGCTGAAAAAATGCTATTTAAGCGACCACTAAGATAGTTTTAACGGAAATTGTTGTGATCCTATTAACGATGTTCATAAATGACTTGGGCAGCAAAAATCTATCCTATGGATACAGGAGAATATAAATAATTATTAAGTCGGCATTAAGCATCATACCTATCGTGAAAAGCCGCGGTCTCAGCGTCGTACAGAACGTGGTGCCGTCCATAAGACCCATCTGCGCGTTGGCCGGCTGGTGACGTAGCAAGTGCTTTTTAGGGGGGATGATATCAGCGATCGCTTCTCGATGAGGATCCATCACCTCCGTGACAGTCTTATTTTGTAATTCCGCAATCAGTTCCAGCGACTTCATTGCCTGTATAACACGTTACTTGAAATAGATACATATCAAACATCAAATACAAAAATCAATTACGTTCATAATTTTCAAATGACTCTATTGTAGCTCATAGAACGCGAAAGTGAAGATAGAAGATGTATAACCGTTTACGAGGATACAGCAATGTACAAACGAAAAGATCGTACCTGTTGCCGGACTAGCAGATGCGGACTCGTGATCTGCAGTACCAGCTCCTGCAAGACGTCGTGAAGAGCTCGCGCCTTGGCGGCTGCCACGTCGCCCTCGGGCTCGCCCTGCCCGCTCGGGCCGGACACGCAGACGCGCACGAGCCGCTCCAGATTAATGGTGGCCATGTCGATGGCGCCCGAGGACACCTCCCCCGTCAAGTCCATCATCACGAACAGCACGGCCTTCAGGAACGTGAACACGTGCTTGTACACCCACTCGGGGGCCATCTTCTCGAACATGAACTTCACCGCTATGCAGCCGCCCAGCTTCGCGTACCAAGCGCGCTCGTAGCAGAGCGCCGACATCCTCTCGGCGAGGTATTCCATCAGCGGCAGGCGGCACGCGCGCTCCTTGCTGCCCAGGACGGTGGCCGCCGTCTCGATCATCAGCACCAGCGCCAGGTGGCCGGGCTTGCACAGCTCCTTCTCCTCGTGGCCCATCACCACGGCTATCGCGTCGACCAGGACCAGCGCGTCCAGCCCTTCTTTGGGCCCCCCCGAGCCGGCGAACGGACCGGCCTCCTGCGCTATCGCCACCAACGTGTAGTGGCGTACGAGAGACACCATAGTGGGCAGCACGTGCTGCCGCAATTCCTTAATAGCTGCGGCAACGAACATTCCAGTCAGGGCTGTCCGGTGAGTGTTCCTCACAAGGGTATTGGCGCACTTGTAATAGGGCCCGTTTTGCGCAGGTATTGGTCCCTCAACGAAGCTCGGATGGTTGAACAGCTTCTGCAGCGTAGCTCTGTCGTCCTCTAGGTTAAGAGAGGCGGCCAAATAGCATCGCAGGACCTCCCAGCACTGCCGACGGTAGAATGGATCGGTAGTACTGGACTTGAGGGCGGAGAAGGCAGTTTCTATTACTTTATCTACTTCAAAGTCTAATGGTTTCGGTTGATCCTGGAAATAAGCTTGCACTGCGGGCGGTGGGGCATCAGTTTCGCGGTACTCTAGCCTCTGGGGCTCAATCATCATTTTCCTGTTGCCGCCGCCGAATTTCCCGAGCACACGGAAAGCTATTCGCGCCACTTCGTTGTTCTGCAGAGTCCTCCAAAGAGCCTGCATCAGATCCGCCCTGACCGGCTGGATGTGCTCGTAAAGGAAGTCCGGTTGCAAATTGTCAACGCACAGCTCGAGTGTGCGCAGGCCTTGTGATATCAGAGTATGAGAGCCGTTGAGCGCCGACACCAACGGATCCATGAGCATCGGTAAATAAGGCAACAGACTGCTTAATCTGACGGGAACAGTCAAACACAACTCGACAAATAAATCTTTCATGTGCTGCTTGTGGAGGCCGCTCTGAAGGCGATTAAGCCCTTCTAACAGGTTGGGCAGTAGCGGCAGGAATTCTTGGTACAGCAAATCGTGGCTCCCCCCTCCGATTGAACGGAAAAGTGCTCTCAACAACAAGAAGTAGTTGTACGGCTCCTTGGCTGTCATGGCGTAGTCCATTGCTTTGTTCACAATGCTGTGCAAATGAGGCCGCAGCATTTGCTCATTCTCCGTTGGGAACAAACTGACCGAACCGAACACCAGTTTGAAAAGCCTGAGATACAAGTTGGACCTCTCTATGTTGGTGCCCATCTCCTCCATCCGTTTCAACAAATATTCGACCAAGACCGTGGCGAAAATCGGCGACGTGGCCGGGTTGGACAAGAAAGTATTTGCGATTATTTGTAAAGTCATGTTTTTGTTTATTCTCTCCACCATGTGCGAAATAGTTGCAGTGAAAATCTCTTGGAAGGTTTGCGGATTCATCATGGAAAACTAAAAAGTAAAACAGGTTAATTAAAATTAAAAATTATATACTTCATACACATACAGAAACTACATACATTTAAATTGTTTTTCATCCCCGTTTTATAATTGCCATGCACATCCTAATGTTCTCAACACATTTTTTAAATCAATTCATCACTATCACTAACACTTAGTTTCACACATACAACCATCATCACTTGAGAACTGACTTTTAAGTGCTTAAATGGAGCAAAGATGTTAGTAGTCGCCTCGGTAACTAGCATTGTGCACCGCACTTTTTGTATACTTTATGTGAGAAGGTAGCAAGCGAGCTTGCGGTTCACCTGATGCCGGTGGTTATCACCACCCATGGACATGCAACACCCATAGGACTGCATATGTGTTGCCATTTTCGTGCAACTTCCCCGAACGGGCATGCCTATTCGTGCAACAGCTTAGACTTGCGTTGCCCTACCACAGTAAGATGATTCCCACGCGGTCAAAAATTTGTACGACCTGGGCCCAGTAGCTATTCTGAGCCAGTGCGTAATTTGAGTCCGTGACTTTTCGTGTGCGAACATAAGTTTCAAAATCTTCTGCCCTCTCTCACTGTAAAGCATAATTTTTTATTTTTTTATTCTTAACTAAACCCGCCGGCAACGCAGTGTACATTATTAATAATCTGTGGACATTGCTTGTCAAATGTCAACACAGTCTCTCTAATAGCTTTTTTAAGAAATCAGTCACAATGAAAACATCCCTGAAGCCAACACATAAGCTTCTCTTACTCCGCAAGACACTGTAAAGTGAGCCTCATCCCGTACACTCTCCCTAGCGAACGTGATCGACTGAACAGCGTGTAATGGTCACTCACGACTCCGCTGAAGTGCTCGAGCACCTCCTTCTCCTCCTTGGAGCGCACGTGCGGCTGGGCGGGCGGCATCGCGGGCGCCCTCGGCGCGGCCAGCGTGTAGATGTCGAGCGACTGCAGGCCCCAGCGCACCAGCCGGATGAACACGAGCGTCTCGCGCGCGCTGAACTGCTTCTGGCCGGCGATCGCGCTCGTCGAGCTGCCCTCGCCCGCGGCCGTCTGCTGCCAAACAAAGCTCTGGTGTAACGAGTACATTTCTCAACCGACTTCAAATTCGGAGGAGGTCGTATGTTTCTCTTTTACGTTTGTTACCTCCGAACTCCGTCATTTATGGACCGATGTTAAAAATTCTTTAAATAAGGTGCGCGTTTTTAAACAGCAATTTAAAGATTGATTAAAAATAATAATTAATATTTTTTTAGTTTACAATTATTATTATTATAGATAAACAAAACAGTGGCAAATAATGTCCGTCACAATGTTAAACGTTCTATGTCAAAAAATCGTGGGTGCTTGCCGTCCGACCTCCGGCAGTTGAGGGATTTCATTGCTTTTTAAACGGTTTTATTTAGCTCGACACGTACGGAATTTATTTGTTTATTTGGGTCAAAATTAGAAATTGAAATTTAAGCACCTTCCCGTTGTCAGATTGATCTGAAATTTGGTACACACATTTAATTTAGATGACAATACAATATTGTAGTTTTCAGTGCACAAAAAAAAACATAAAATAAAACCGTTTAACTTAAAAGTTTTTAAACGGTTTTATTTTCTCTACATTTCTTGCGGCGTTATATAACAATATTTCTAAGACTTACTAGCGAGATAAAATTAAGAAACCTATTTCATGTGCTCACTTTGCAACTGGCGCATCCCCACGTTATGGTCTTCACGCCACACACGAGCGTCTTGACCAGGGTCCTGTAGTCTCCGACATTGAGATTGCTCAAATGCGAGCTGGGAAAGCCTATTTTGGATTTCTCCTCGGTCTTGCTGATGCCGTCGAAGAAGTCGGGTGAAGGTTTCTCTTCCTCTGATTTTACTTCGGTGGTCGAAGTGCTTGGCGCTGGTGTAGTAGGCGTGCTAGGAGTGGCCCCGTTTGCGCTGTTCGTCGTTGCGACCGTAGCTTGCTTGCTGTTAAATCATGACGTTTGCAACTTATTGTATATACGCGGTTACACATTACTAAATGAAACAATGTTTAATTTCCAACGCTTCGAACCCTTTATAGCGTTCATGTTCTGTCTCGTGACCGTGAACGCTTAAAAATAAACGCGATAAATCCGTAAACACAGGTTCATTTAGCCATGACATTTGCCTTAGACTAATTGTTTTTGAAGTTATACTTCCTTTGACGCGTTTGTAAAAAAGTTATGAGAGTAAAGTTTTTACGATGCGCGCACATACCAACATCCAAAATGTTAAATTTTCACCCTATTACGTGGAATTAAGTAAGAGGAAACAATCAATTTTTCCTTAGTTGATTTTTCTAAATAACCTTTCGTTTCCCTAGAAAATCGACTTTAACTACTTTGTTTTGGCCGAGGAAATTAAGAATTAAATACTAAGAAAAAAAAACCAGCCAAGTGCGAGTCGGACTCGCGCACGAACGGTTCATGTCTGTTATATGGGCCACACTTAAATATTTTTTCATTCTGTTTTGTTATAGCGGCAACAGAAATACATCACCTGTGAAAATTTTAACCGTCTAACTATCACGGTTCATGACATACAGCCTGATGACAGACGGACAGAAAGACAGCGGAGTCTTGAGTAAGACGGTCGCGTTTTACCCTCTGGGTACGGAACCCTAAAAATGGACGGGGAAACCCGGCTATTGATGAGTGATGTCTAGCATTTCGATACACACAGTCGTTTAATACGGCCGTTTGAAATGTTGCAAATTAAAAACTTTCGATATATTTATCAAAGATTATAAATTATAGTTTGATAATTTATCATGAAAAACACCCTCATAATAAACGTCTCCAACCCTGGCCTACCCCATGATTCCAACAGAAAGGTGTAGGGAGTTTCTATAGCCGCGAACAATTTGGACACTCACCACTTAGCCATGAGCGCCGGCAGCTGCAGCTTGGAGATGGTCTTGAACTTGAGCACGAACACCTCGAGGATGCGCATGAGCAGCTGGCGGCCCTGGGGCTGCGGCCCACCCCCCGCCCCCGCACCCTCGCCCTCCGAGCGCAGCCGGATACAATCCACCAGGTTCAGGAGCAGCTTGCATGACATCGTCTGAATGCTAAACACACAGATATCCGAAAGTGGTTATAGCTCAAGTAAAGAAAACACAGATATACGTTTATCACAAACGCGCGCGCACGAATCGAGGAGAATGGATGGTATCATCTCACATTCCATGGACGTGTTTTTTACGTGAAAGGTGACAAATAAGCTGCCGGTTCACCCGATATTTTTAGTAATAACCGCCGCCCATTGACATGTGCAACACCCGTAGGGTTGCAGATGCGTTGGCACCTTTTAATAAATTGGGCCCCGGCTACCTCACTCACCAGAAAGAAGAGAAGTATAACACTTCCACTTCACGCCGGTATTCTGTGAGGTCATGGTTCTTGGCGGGAGGGCCCTGCCGTAGTACAATCGACCGTCCTTCCTTTTTAAATTTCTCACCAATGTGTACGATATGCATTCGTCTAAGATAGACATCCCCAAAATTGTTTTTGTTGTTGGCTTCCCTTAGCCATAATTGAATAAGTACAGATTTTTATTACAACTTACAGTTTAGTAGGCTTGTCATGGTAGATAATGTCTAAAAGGGCACTATACATTAAAAAGTCTATATATACCTGGTCGGTAATGATTCGTCATGCACATTCTTGGAAAATAAATGTGCAGCAAGAGCGAGATCAGTCAGAGGGAGGTGTTGGCGTACATGATGCACCAGGTCCGCTAGTGTCGAGTATGCCAATGGTCTAAGTGACTCGTGAACAGTCCAACCACCGCCTAGTAATACATCTTCGTCGAACAAACGTTCCATATATGGAACAAATTCTAAAAATGAAATTCAATATTAGTTTCCGTCACCTTTAAGTCTAAAACTTATATAAATGTGGGCCTGTAGATGGGATAGGAAACAAATAAAATATATCGAATTTTTAATACAAAATCGGAGAAATTTACCCTCATCATCAGATCTCAACTTTCAATTCACTGAACAACATGCTAAGAACATTTCAACTATATTTTTTACATGTCTTATATATTAGCTGATTATAGTTGAACATGACATTGTTTCTTAAAGAAAACATACATAAAAAAAGCAACCAGTTTAAACAGAAATAAAAGTAAAAAACACAATTACGCGTAAAATCAAGAAGTCAAGAAAAACTTTAAAATATTAATACTAGCGACCCGCCCCGGCTTCGCACGGGCGCAATGTATTATACATATGAACCTTCCTCTTGATCACTCTATCTTGTAAATTAAATTAAAACTTTTCTCTCAGTAAGCACCATCCTCATACTTCAAGGAATATTATAAAAAAAGAATTAGCGAAATCGGTTCAGCTGTTCTCGAGATTTGCGCTTAGCAACACATTCGGCGATTCATTTTTATATAGTATAGAGATATATTATTTGTGATTTGTTTCAGTGAATAGCTCAGATTCATACATACATGCATACAGCGTAAAGATTTAAAAATTAGATGCTATATAAACGCATCATCGCCGTAACGCGTTTCCGTTGCATTGTCGCCGTCCAAAGAATTTTATAAAACCGAAAAATAAGGTAATTAAAAAATAGTAGACACTTACTCAGCCTTAGATCTGTTGCCAAAATATGTCGTGTGGCTATCACTAATTCTTTTCTAAGATGAGCAACTTCTGGTGGACATAAAGTGAGAAGGCCAATTATTCCTTTAACCATCAAGTTAGCATGATTAGCAATTGTCTCTTGATAGATTCTTATGATATAAGCTAAAAATGCCAACGTTTTTATTTGTGCACCCATGAAATCCACAAAAACTTCTTTGTTAAAGGATGCTGATTGCCTACAAAAATTATCTCTTTATAATAAGTGTAATTAATTATCTTCAAAACATAATTTTAGAGAAAGAATACCTGTGAGCTGCTGCTGGCTGTAAGGTGATTGTTTCCATGATAAGGGGTATGAAGTTGCTAACCTCCTGATGTACATTCTGTTTGTATAGCTGATACATAAGTACAACGATAATTGGCAGTTCCTGGATTACTTTCAGTGATAATACAGATTTGGGAATGAGATTGTACTAAAACAAAGAAAAAAAAATTTTTTTCTTTCCCTTCAAGAAAACAAATATTAGCAAAAAGAAGGAGAAATAATTGTTCAAGAAGTAATTTTGGTCTTCTCCTGCTAAATAGTGAGAAGTGACAATACAATATCTTGGGTAAGATTTGTTAACAGCATATACAGTGTGTCTTTACCATCGCGACAATAAATGAACACACATATAGAGGATAAATTTATTAAAAGTGTATTAAAGATTTACATTCTTTAAACATCAATATTGACAGAGTTATGAAATTTTCCAAAACAAAGAATTTTAGAACACCCTCATGTATAAAACTTTAATGTAAAGTTCATTTGTAAAGGTCAAAGCATATGAATGGGTTGAATGAATTTAAAAGAGACAAAAAATATGGTTAGAAGGAGAGGCTTGTAATGCGGCGCTGTGGCAACGAATGTAAAAGTCTCGGAATGTATGAATCAGTCAGTTGTAATTGTATAGGATGTTACAAATTTTGTTTCTTTTTTACTTAATTACTTAGATTGAAAAATATTTTTTTTTATTATGGATTTTTATAACGTTAATATTTTTTATGATTGGCAAGTAGTGTTAGATGTGTGTTCATTTATTGTCGCGTAGGTAAAGACACGCTCTATATGACCCACTGCTGGGAAAAGCCTCCTCTGTATAGAGGCTATTAAGGCCAGTCCACCATGTGAGACTCCACTGCAAATCGGCGCCTACACATAATATCTTCGAAATATATTTTTTGTTATTATTTTCAATTTGAATTCAGACTGCTTGAGTATATTGAATTAAAGGCAAGGACCTGGATACTGAGCTAGCATGGCTTACTTGCTTGTTTACTTTGGACAACTAGCAATCTTTGGAAGCACTGGCAAATCTCAATAATTCAATATTTAATACAAATATTTCTAGGGCTATTTTATATCTATGTCAGTGGATACCAATACCACAAAACCTTTTGAAAGGTTATTGGGGGGATATACAAGAGTATAGTTAAAACTCTAAATGTAATAATAGTAATTCTATTAAATACTTACAGTAACAACACTGCCATCCATTAATTTCTTTTCAGTGTGTATAGGTGTAGTAGTATAAGTTTCTTGTAAAAGTTGCTCTATATTGACCTCTGACAAATCTTTCACTCGTATTGTTGGTTTTGGCTCAAATATCTTAGGTAACTGATTTGGTAAATCAGAGTATATACCTTTTACCCATTGAAGAAATTTGTGAATCTGGAAAAGATTTGCAATTAATTAATTATTACATTAAATAATATTATGAACCACATTTAATATTGATTTAAAGAGCCAGTAGATACTATCTTGAATAGAAGAAAAAACTATGGACAAATGTGTGTAAATATGGCATTTATACATTCGATATACAATATATTGTCCTATCCTTCTGAATTCAAACCACCTAATCACAAATAAACAAAAACTTACATCTAATTCAGCACTATATGTAGGTCGATATTGTTTATGCAATTCCATGAATATCTTCAGACAAACCAACACATTCTCTTCATTTTCAATCTCCATTAGCTTCAGCATTAAAACAAGCATGCTCTTGACATATGGCTTTAATGTATCATTCATTGGGATCCGATGTATCATTTCAAGGATTAATTTTCTCACTTGTTGAATGTTATACTCAGCAATAAAATGTGGCTCGCCATCTTGTAGTATTTTAAGAAAAATTTTGAGGGAGTGGTCAAGAAATTGTGGATACTGTGGTGAACTAAGGATGACCTAATAAGAGAAAATGTATTATCAGATGACTAATAGCTGGATGCATGAACAAGTTAATTTACCAGTTCAAAGTTAAGGCATAGGAACTTATAATTATTAAAGAAAATCATAATTGCAAATAAATTAAAAGAAAAATTATAATTATAGTTCATGAAATTGGATGTAATTACACAAATACCCTTCCACCCCCCTCCCCAAACACAATGTTAGTTTTGAGTGAATAAGGTTGAAGTTTTAAGTGTATTTGCTCAATGTTATATTTCTTTGTATCTATATCTTATGAAAGAAATACTTTTGTTGTTTACTTCAAGAAATGTTAATATATCAAGTTTTATACAAATAAAGGTATCATAAGTTTTCATTTTTATCATACAATATGAAGATAAAAATTGTTTGAATGTTTTTTAATAAACACCATTTACAATTGTGTTACGCTCATATAAAATGTTGCAAAAATTATCCAGTGCTGCTAATTTTCACTGATAATTACTCTAGGTCATAAAACATCTAGCTATCTTATAGTTTATTTTGTGCCTTACTTATTGATTAACATTTTAGAAATCATTTTATTTATGTCAATTCTAACTTGAGAGACCAGTAAATCTAATAGTACTATAAACATAATGATCACCATGCTGGCTGTTTCAATATTAAAATCTGGTTCACTCCAAAAAGATTTGTAAAAATACCAACCAAATTTACTGATAAAGTCAAATATAGCCAATATTTTTTAATCCAAGTAGTCTAATTTTCCTATAGATATTCTTCTTCCATTAAGTCACATGAGAATGCTTTTTTTTCTAAAATCTGCAGTTTTACTATTTTTATTTTCCTCTATGTTCAATTCTTGTAAAGGTTTTTAATATTGAGATGTATTTGCCTAATTTTTTTATTGTTTATTGCAAATACCTAATTATTTTTAATTTCGTTTGAAAAGAAAATCATCTTGAGATTTATTGTAACCCCATATGTAAAATTCTCTTCGATCATTGGTGATTTGATGTAGTATTTTAATTAACATAATTAAAATAAGCCACTCTGACCCATCCGATGTTACAGCGGGCGGAGGCTCTCCCTACATGCCTAGGGCTCTATAAAAACACTAGGAGTTGGACAGACTGGTACCAGGTGAAGTGTGGGTCAATCAATTGATACTTTGACATAAGTTGAATTAGGTTCATCTTTCATTAGAAGACTACAGGGGAAAAACAAGAAATGTCAGTAAAAAGTAAAAATAAAACGTCAATGGAAACCTAAGATGGAATCCCTCCTACTGCTGAATGGTAACTAACATCAGATAAAACGACAAATATTTTTGTTTTAGTTCAAGCATTTTTGCTAATCGATATATATTTAACTTATAAACTACTTTGATACACTTAACTAAATTTCAATCATATCTTGTGTGAATTCTTTTTGAGTAACTGAAGATAAATAGAAGCTAACTAAATTAAAATTTTGTGCCAGTATTTTACTCAACCGTTCATATAGAAATAAGAAGTACAAAAAGTGTGTTTTAGACGTTTTATTTTTAATAACATAAACTTACTTCAAAATTTTCGCTAAGTTCTTGAGCAGCTTTAAGTTTAATTTCATCTTTTGCACCAGGATCCGCCAACATGGTCACATAACTTCTATAAGTATTCATTTGTGTATGAGGGTCTCCTGGACCCCCGGGAGTCATAGCAGTCATCATTTTACATTAACATCAATGTTATTAATCCAGAAAGTTCATTATTAGTTTGCATGAGCCCACTAAATAAACGTAAGATTTACCAAAATTCAAAAAGAAGTAAAACATATTTTCTAGACAAACATTAAGAGAAAGATAGATCTTACGCAAATAACATTTTTTTTTCTAATTTTTGATGTTCTAAAATTATTAATTATTTAAAACAATATCTAAACATTTATATCACAACAAACTTTAAGTTGGTGTATATAAATTTAGATCGGAATTAGGAAATCGGACAGATGATAAATAAACACACGACCGAGCGAGCAGATTACATCTGTGGTTAATATAATTATTAATTTATAATTAGTATAGTTAATTTAATCAATAATCTAATTAAGGCTAAGATAAAGATAATTAATAATTTTCGTCGATGCAGTGTTACTGACTGCTCAAAAACAATACTCCTAAAGCAATTCAAAAACCCACAAAATTTACTAAATTGAAACAAAATTTCCTATTTTTCTAATATTAAGGTTAAATAATTATCTGATTAAATTAACTATTTCATTTAAAATGCTCAAGAATATTAAAAATATAACATTTTGATTTATGATCGAGGAAATTCGCCGAAGATCCGGAGTTACCGATATAGCCCTCCGGATGTTGAAGTGGCAGTGGGCAGGCCGGTATAATAAAATATGATTTTATCATTCTTTTGTTATATTATTTAATAAATGACTTTAATATATTTTAAAGACACGCAATGATCAGTTACCATTTTATAAGAAGAATTTAAAATACTACAATAACTATTACATAGATCTTGGCTTGCCGTCGAATACAGCTATCTAGTTATATTTTTTGTTTAAAATAAGCAGTCCTGTGTATTTTTTTTTTTTTTTTCAAAATATGTGAATAAAATTTAAATCCTAAAAACATTCTCAAGAAAGAATTACCTTCAAAAAATTTCCATTGTACATTTTTCTTCCTAAATTTAGGAAAAAAATAAGTTGGCATCATCGTCAATGGCACGTTGATGGTGTTAAAAAATCGATACTGACGACCACAGAACACATACATAATTATCCTGTGAATTGAGATGGAACACACTTTGTCTTAATGCATTAAATACATATATATCATTGGAGTATATACTCCAAGGATGTATATGATAAAGTCTTGATTTAAAGCGTCTCTAAGATGAATGTTTCACCCTCCTCAGCCCTCAGTCTCCGGAGATTACGATTATAATATGTAATTCAATCTTTCGGATACCATTTAATCAAGATTCCGCTTCGTGCTCTCGTACGGAACGGACGTCTCTCTAAGACGGAGTGCACATGCCACCCGAATTAGACGCCACTCGCAACCTCGGTTGCAATTTAAATCTTGTGTAAATAGTGCAGTAGTTTAGTGTTAGTGTAGTGTTGTGCTCGTAGGCAGGTTCCTGTTTGTAAGTAGAATCCTACACACACTTCTGGCCTCAGAGGCGGCATTGTTTCATTTATTAACTGTGTGTTTGTTGCAATAGGCGACAGCTAGGCACCTAAAGCGCAGGCAAATTGTTTGTTATTTTTAGGCACACTCCTCCCTGCCGCAAGGTGGGGAGGCTAGCTCACACACGCCGGCGGGGCTACAAGCCCCAAAGGCACTTACGTCGCGATGGGCTCCCTTTTCGAGGAGTTCGTAGGCAGAGAATGCCCCGCTATGTGGGAACGTTATCTTGCCTATGCAGTCGAGCATAGGCAAGTAGTTGAACTAGCGTCGCCCCCATTGCCCGCGCCGTCTGCTCCCGTCGCTTCGGCTCCCGTCGCTTCGGCATCCGCTAACGCGAGGTCGGGTTTGGTTGCACGGAAAGCGCTACGGGCGCCTTCCGTGCAACCAAACCCGACCTCTTTTCGCTCCGTCGTACCCGACTCACAATCGGACGGCGGATCGGACATGGAGGTCGAAACGACCCCCGCTGAAAACGCGAACGCCAACGGCTTCACCGTCGTTAAATCGCGTAAGAAGGGCAAGAAACGCCCCGCTACCGACAGCGACCCCGAATGCGAGGCCGCCTCAACGATCCGTCCCACCGCGACGCCCGCTAAAAAGGCGGCCGCGGCGGCTAAACCGATGCCCGAATTCGCCTCCGAGCGAAAAATAAAGCCTCCTCCACCCATCATCATTCAGGAGAAGGCTAAGTGGCACCAAATTTGTTCGTGGTTTGAACGCCACAATATCCGCGACCCCCGGTCGAAAAACACGCATATGGGTATCCGCGTATACCTTGACACTACGGACGACTTCCACCGCGTAACTAAGTACTTGCGCGAAAACAAGATAGGTTTCCACACCTACTCGTTGCCCGAAGAAAGAAAACTTCGGGTTGTAATCAAGGGCGTCCCGAAAGAATCGGATGTCGATAGGGCTAAGGTCGACATCCGCACTCAGGGATACCCTGTGCACGCCGTGCGTCGCCTCAGACACCCTCGAACCCGTGTCCCTATGGACATGGTCATGGTCGAACTTGACCCTACCCCGGAAGGTAAGGCCATCTTCAACCTGAAGAGGGTCTGTGGGCTCAGTGACTTAGTCATCGAGCCCCCGCACAAGTCAGGAGTTGTGGCTCAGTGCCACAACTGTCAACATTTTGGCCACACGGCCAACAATTGCTTCGCTCACCCTAGGTGCGTCAAATGCACCGGTGACCACGGCACGACCGAGTGCACGCGGCCGAAAGATTGCGCAGATCCACCGGACTGCGTAAACTGTCACGCCACCGGCCACCCGGCTAGTTATAGAGGCTGCGCTAAGGCCCCGAAAACTCCCGCGAGAAAATCTCCCGCGAAATCCACTCTACCCAAACCCGCGCCCGTAAAATACGTTCCCGCGCCCGTACCCGTCACAAACGCTTGGGCGAAACCCCAGGTGGCCGCACAGGTAGTCACGCCCCCAGTCGCCTCACGACCGATCGCACAATCGCAGCCAGCCTATCAAACGGCGCCGAGGCCACAGGTGCAGCCAACTCCGTCGGTTTTCGCGGAAAACAAGGACGACCCGTTCGCGCAAATCGCCAACATCTGCAGTCTATTAGACCGAATCAATAGGCAGGAACTCGCCGTATTGTCCGCTAAAATAGCGGCCGCCACATCTGGCAACGAGCGCCTCAGAGCAATCAGCCAACACAAAACGCTTGTAGAAGCCCTATGGGCTTTTACGAGCCAACCATAAAAAGACATAATAGTCCGCGCAATAAAAACGCGCTCCGCCGCGTCGTTAATTAGAACCATAAAAACACCTTAATGGGAAGTACAACCGCAGGTAGAACAAAACCTCGGGCTCTGGTTGTGTCGTATTTCAACGCAAACGGCATAAAGGGTCAAAGGGACGAAATCGCAGAATTCCTTCGGAATTACAACGTAGATATTTTTCTAGTGCAAGAGACATTCTTAAAACCTAGTGTACGCGATCCCAGAATCGCAAATTACAACATTGTCCGCCACGACCGGTTAGCAAATCGTCTGGGAGGCACATTAATTTACTATAAACGGTCCTTGCACTGTTGCCCACTCGACATTCCAGAGCTAAGTCAAATAGAGGCATCCGCGTGTAGGTTAGCGCTCACCGGCCACAGGCCGCTTGTACTAGTCTCAGATACGCTACTCAACTTAGGCCCTTCCGTGATAATTGCAGGAGATCTAAACTGCAAACACGGTTCATGGGACATCCACAGCATCCCAAATAACAACGGAAAGCATCTCTTTAGTTTATCCGATAATTTAAACTTTAGCATAATCGCTCCTACGACTCCCACTAGGTATCCTACGGTGGACAACTACCAACATGCGACACCGAGTATCCTAGATATCATGTTATTCAAGGAGGTCTCGCTCGACATCGAGTCGATAGAGACAATCCATGAACTAGATTCAGATCACAGGCCCGTCCTGTGTAAACTGGGCCAGAACGCCGGCGCGGTCCCACCGACCAAATCCGTAGTGGACTGGCATCGTCTTGAGGTCAAACTCAAGGCCTTGGACGCCCAGGACTTAGTCGACCTACCCGAGACGATAGCTACGTTCGATGACGCAAATCGAGCGATAGCAAGTCTCCGAGAAACCATTACTTCCACAGTCACAGACTCGGAACGGACGGTGAAACTGTCGGGCGACCGACGGTTTAACTTTCCGCCTGACCTAAGACTGCTAATTAGACAGAAAAATGCAGCCAAAAGCGCCTTCGACCGATACCGATCGGAATCGAACCGAACCCTACTTCGACGCCTTCAGCTAGAAGTCAAAGATCGTGTATCGGAACACCGACATACAACGTGGGACACTCTCCTAGAGGACATCGAGCCATCGCACACCGCCTACTGGCGATTGGCCCGCAGTCTGAAAGCAGACCCCCGCGAATCTCTACCGCCATTAATTAGACCTAATAGCGCTTCAATAGCCCTAGATGACTCCGAAAAAGCCGAATGCCTTGCGGACAACCTAGAGCAGCAATGTACGCCATCGCGCGAACACACCGATACAGTCCACCTAACGGAGGTGGACCGCGTAATCGAGACTAGGGCTGCGCTTCCACCGGAAGGCGATCCTTTAAGTTCAGTGACCCCCGAAGAGGTCCAAGATATTATTAAAAATTTAAAACCGAAATCCGCCCCGGGCCCAGATAATATCAGTAACAAAATTCTTAAAGCTCTCCCTGGGCCGCTTATCTGTTTACTGGCGACCATTTTCAACACTCTACTCTCCAGTTGCTCCTGCCCGGACGACTGGAAACAAGCCACGGTTATCGGCATTCACAAGCCAAATAAACCAGCCAACCAGCCCTCTAGCTATCGTCCCATCAGCCTCCTCAGTTGCCTGGGGAAGCTCTACGAGCGGCTCTTATTAAACAGGCTCAAAGAGCACGTATTTTCCAACGGCCTTCTGCCGACGGAACAATTCGGC